AGGACCACTATTATTCATATTATTTGTCAACGATATTTTTTCGGTATCAAATACTTGTAATACCGTGCTATATGCAGATGATACAAACATATTCTTATCTGGAGATAATCCATATCAGCTTTTCTCTAATATGAACAATGAGCTAATAAAATTTGTCGATTGGTTTGAAAATAATAAATTGACACTTAACGCTAAAAAGTCATGTTTCATCGTGTTTGGACCAAAAATCAAAACTAATGATCAAATTTTTAACGATTTAGCAATAACGCTTGGCGATTTTGCTCTTCCCAGGGTCTCCTCAATTAAATTTCTTGGTATAACACTACAAAGTGATTTAAAATGGATTGAACAAGTCAACCTAGTGCTCAGCAAAGTACATAAAGTAATAGGGGTGATCTATAGATCCCGTGACAAACTAGACCTCAAATCAATGATCACTCTTTATTACTCTTTCTTTTATCCTCATCTAATTTATGGGAATATTTTTTGGGGTTATTCATGCAAATATTTAAACAACAAATTGCAAATAGTTCAGAAACGTATATTAAGAATCTGTTTTTTCATAGGTTATCGCGATCATACTAGTTTCATTTTTTCCAACTATGGTTTTCTCAATATTGAACAAATTAATAAATACATTACGTTAATTTTTTTATATAAAGTCCAGCATTTTGATAATTATAGAGGATTGTTTGTTTTTGATAGGGTTGTTTCTTTGACCAGACAAAACAACATGTTGAAAATACCTAATAGTAGAACAGAATTAAATGATAGGTCCTGGTTTGTAAGAGGTGTTATTATCTGGAATGAACTAGGTTTTCATAATTTATCATTTTCTTCCTTGAACAATTTTAAAATAGTTGCTAGGAAAAAAATTTGTGATAATGAATAAATACTAATTGCATTTATTTTTTATCTTCCTGTATTTGTTTTATAAATGGACATTATTTTTCATTACATTTCGTTTTGGCACATTTTTTTATTTTTTTTAGTTAAGGTGGTCTGCACAAGTTTTTCTTTTTTGGATCTCCTGGTTTGATTTTTGCCGAATAAAATTGGATTGAAAAAAAAAAAAAAAAAAAAAATATATATATATATATATATATACTTTGTCTCTACTCTACTTTGTTGATTTCGTGTTTGTTAAACTTAACGATCATTTAATTAGTTATTACGATCTTCAACTTTGTGCAATATGACACTTTTACGTGTCATCGTTATCGATGATTCCTCTGATTCTAAATTTATTAGTGGGAAGGATTCCAATTGCCCGTTGTTGAATATTTATTATCGGATGTCTTTGTTCTATGTGTATTGATTCGGCTAGTCGTAAATTATAATGGTTGTTATTGTAAATTTTTGAAACTTAATCAGCTGGAGACAGGAGAGGAAAAACGAAGTCATAAAAAGACCAGCTTGGAAGACAAAAAAGTATATAAAAAAGTTCAAAGTAATACTAACTCTTAACTCTTTTTGGAAATATTGGCATGCATAACGCCGGATGACTGGTTGATTAAAACTCTACTAATGAAAACGGGGGAACTGTAACGTTAACTTGTCAAAAAATAGATGAATGATAGTACAAAATGAGCTGGTGAGGAAATAATATTAAAATCAAAAAGATTACAACTAAAATTCAATTAATTTACTATCAGAGCCTTTTGACTTTCAACTTAGTCTACTTGCGAATGTTAATGGAATGAATGAATGAATGAATGAATGAACGAATGAATGAATGAATGAATAAATGAATGAATGAATGAACGAAGGAATGAACGAACGAACGAACGAATGAATGAATGATCGTTTCTTTGATTAGGCTAATTGGAAATCGTTTAATTAGATTGTTTAAACTTTATAGAACGTCAATTGCTTTTTATGGAAGATAAAATTTGCTTATTTTAACAATCTAATGTTTTAAACATATAATATCATATCATATCATATTATATGATATGATATGATATTATATGATATTATATGATATGATATGATATGATATGATATGATATGATATGATATGATATGATATAATACAATATAATATAATACAACACAATACAATATAATATAATATAATACAATATAATACTTATAATTATTTACGTTGTGAATCTAAGTTATAGTTGAATAATTTTTTGTTTGTCAGGGTTTGACTCCGTTCTACGTCTTTCAAGTCTTCAGCATTTTGTTATGGTCGGCGGCGGAGTCATATTATTACTACTCAGCGTGCATCTTCCTAATGTCGGTCGTTTCGCTGATCGCTCAAATTGTTCAAGAACGAATGGTATTTAGATATAAACTTTTTGACATCTCATTTTTCAAAATCTCGTATTTTTTAATATTTTGATTACACGTAGATGGAGAGGGCATTGAAAAAAACAGTGAACAATATAAGCACATGTCTCGTTGCTAGACCGGGAAGAGAAGGTGAATACAAATTTGCTCTACGGAACAATTTTAATAATTTACATTGATTTAAGAAACATCTGAAAAATCGTTTTATTTATTTATAAAGTAGTTTGAAATTTATTACATTTCAGGTGTGATGTTTGAAGAAACAAGCTCGATTAATTTGGTGCCAGGCGATGTCATACAGATACCTTCGAGCGGTTGCATCATGCAGTGTGATGCTGTCCTCAACTCGGGGACAGCCATCGTCAACGAAAGCATGCTTACAGGTTCCATCAACCTTCTACAAGATGTTTGGAAAATAAATTTTATTATCACTATCATATTATATCATCATCTTCATTTTCATACAAACGCTTAGCAGACATTTGTATCAATTTTTGTTTCAACTATTTTGTAATCCACAAAAGTTCGAGTTTGGTCTGTTTTGGAATGATTTGTTTTGAAATAAAAAGAAATTATCTTGAAAAACGCGATGGTATGAACTGCTGCAAGTTGGCTCCAACTTAGCAAAAATTTTAATGCATCCCGTTAGTTATATTCTCTTAATGTAATATTTAACCACAGGAGAAAGTGTTCCCATAACAAAGACAAGTGTTTTGGATAACGAGCTCGTGTTCAACGAGAAAGACCACAACAGAAATATTTTGTATTGTGGTACGTGCGTTATCCAAACACGCACGGTGAATATGCAACCCGTAACCGCTATGGTCATTAGAACAGGTTGCGATTTTTTATTTTTACTTTTATATATATATTGTAATTTATTTAGAAAATTTAAAATAATTAAATAAAATTGCACAAGACACTTAACATCGTCACAAAAATATTCAGGATTCTTGACAACAAAGGGATCATTGATTTGTTCAATTTTATATCCAAAATCGATGGATTTTAAGTTCACAAAAGATAGTTACAAGTACGTTGCTGCTCTATCCTGTGTAGCCGTTGTTGGCATGGTCTATACGGCATGCTGCATGGTCAGCAACATTTTAAATGCAATTTATTAACAATTTCGAAGTCATATTTTTCTATTTTTTGTATTAAAAACTTATTATTTATAAATTGTAATAAAAGAAATAGCAAACTTAATAACTCGAAACTGATTAATGTTGTGAGTGAAGACATTTAACTAACGATAGCAAAATGTTGATCATACCTTTAAAAAATAATTTCCACTATATAATTTATTAGGCCTTAAATGGATCGGTGGCAGAAGATGTCATCATTCGAATGTTGGACATCGTGACCATCGTTGTTCCTCCAGCGCTGCCAGCCGCTCTCACCTACAGCATCGCTATTGCCCAGTATCGTCTCAAGAGGAATTCCATATTCTGTCTCAACTCCAAGTCAATCAACGTCTGCGGCAGTCTCGATGCATTTTGTTTTGACAAAACAGGAACGTTAACTGAGGACGGATTAGATATCTACTGCATTCAGCCTTGTGGTAGTCCGGGAAATGATGTCATTAGTAGCAACAGTGATAGTGGCATAGTCTTCTGTTCAGATGATAACATTAGGTCAGCCCCTAAGTGTTATATTAAATAATACAGCGACAATTGATACCTATAAAGGATAAATAAATTGCCTTTGTCTTAGATTTATGAAGCCGATTTATATGAACGAAAAAGATGAAACGTCAAAACATTCTCAGCCACTATCATCGTATTACCTGGATCATATACGGATCAACATGGCCTCCTGTCACTCGCTCGTTTGTCTTGATGGAATTTTTTGTGGAGATCCAATTGACTTGAAAATGTTCGAATACACACAATGGGTTAATATATTTTTATTTTTTGTTTAATATTTGATTGCATTATCTAAACTCAACAATATAGATAACATAAAATAATAAATTATCAAGCACTTCATTGAATATGAAGATGCCACAATGACAGACCTCAAAACGCCGATAGTAGTTAAGCCTAAATTAGAAAATCAAGTAACTTCTTATTACAAGTTTTCTATTAACTAAATTTTAATTTTTTTTATAATGTTTTTTAAAATTTATTTTCGTTTTGCCTACTACACGATAATTCAGGAAAAAATGATACCCGAATATGGTGTATTGAAACAGATGCCATTCAGTTCAAAACTTCAGCGGATGTCTGTTATTGTCAGGAGCCAACAGAGGCCAGCTGATTCTTTCGACCCACTCAACACTTTTTCCGTCTACGCAAAAGGATCTCCTGAAACGATATCCTCGTTATCAATTGCCCACACAGGCTGGCAAAAAATGCTTATTGTTATATATGTTTTGTCATTTCGCTATTTGATGTTTGACACAAACTTAACATAAACTCTGTCTTTATCGAAATTTATCATTTTATCACAAACAGTCCCAGCCAACTTTAAGCAAGTTCTCGTGCACTACACTCGCCAAGGTTTCAGAGTGCTTGCCCTAGCCTGGAAGCCACTTTACAGCGATGTACCGACTAGTGATGTCAACGGCATTTTAAAAATCGTGGAAAAAATGGACAGGTAGCTTTTGATTTCCAGCTATTTTACTACGCTTTTATTAACTTCCCATGTTTGTCTGTTCATTTGTTGTTCGTAGCTCGTTTTTTAGTTTGTTTGTCCGTTCATTTGTTGTTCGTGAGTTTGTTTGTTCGTTTTTTCGTTCGTTCTCTCGTTTATTTGTTTTGTACATATATGAGTATAAATTTTATAAATTTTTTTTCTTTAACTGATTATGTGATTTGCGTTAAACGTTAAACTGTTGTTTGAACTGTAGAGAGCAGATCGAAAGTTCTCTGATTTTTCTTGGCCTTATAGTTATGGAAAATAAATTGAAAAAAGAAACAATTTCCACTATAAAAAAGTTGAAAAACGCTGACTTAAAAATTGTAATGGTTACAGGTCAGAATTTAAAAGTTTCACATTAAAATTTTTGTAGAATTAAAATTATTTGTAAAACTGGAAGATTTAAAAAATCGGATGGTTTTCTTCACAAAACAAATATTTTTAAAATATTATTCAATTGCTATAACTATAGATAATTACAACAACTGGAGGAAAGAAAATTGAATTAAAAATGCTTGCAGGTGACAATTTATTGACCGCGCTAAACATCGCACAAAAATGTTTCTTCATTGAAAGGAACGAAAGTGTTTACTTCATATCACTGGATACACCCAACAACTCTGTTGACATTCCTTTGTTGTCCTTTTGCCAAATAAATGAGTTTGAAGATGATCATGTTGAAAAGATAACGCTCAACGATGTAAGATTGACATTAAAATTTTTTTGTTGTGTTCGATTCTTCTTTACTGAAGTACATTATGATTTATCTCTTCATCTTTCAGTTTTTAGGCGTAAGTTCTAGCGAATCAAACTTAAAAGAAGCAGAGGTTAAGCAGACCAAATATCATTTTGCTATAACTGGCAAAATGTGGAAACTCTTCAGATCTCATTATCCTGATTTGGTTTCCAAGGTACCATTTACTGAAATAAATTGTAATTTTTCAATTTAATATTTATTTTTATTTGAAGTTGGTCGTCAGGGGCACGATATTTGCGCGGTTTTCTCCAGACCAGAAAAAACAACTGGTCGAAGAACTGCAAGCTGTTGGGTAATGTTTTCAATCATTATTCTTGATAAACTTCAATCAAATTGTTGCAGTTAATTTTATCGTGAAAATAAATAAATGAAGATATTACGTTGGAATGTGTGGTGATGGGGCGAATGATTGTGGCGCTCTGAAGACCGCTCACTCGGGAATTTCGCTGTCTGAGACTGAAGCATCTGTAGCGTCTCCGTTCACGTCGAAGCAGGCCAACATCTCCTGCGTGGTCAGACTCGTCAGGTCAGATTTCAACCTATCAAGATAGTAAAATGTTAACATTACTGAAAACTATTGAAATTTCTCAGTTTTTAAAATATTTAAAATCTTTTAAACAAACTGTTAAAATACAAATCAACTGACAACACCGTAAACCATCCAACAGGGAAGGGAGGTGTGCCTTAGCAACATCTTTTGGAATTTTCAAATTCATGACGGCATACAGCATGAACCAGTTTCTCATCGCGTGCATTTTTATTTGGGTTAGATAAATTTACTTTTTTTTATAAAAAATATTATTGTTAGCAGTGTATTTTATTTTTTTCATTTAAATAGAATCTAACCTTGCTGAGTGACATGCAGTTCATGTATCAAGACATCTTCATGCTCACTCCACTGTCATTTACATGTTTGTTTAAACTTTCTCATTCAGATTCTTAAATTCAAAAATTGTTTCAACAGTAAGGTAACATTTAGTACCTCATATTCAAAAATGATCACTAAGTAATAATTGCTTGTAGTAGATAATTTGATTAAAAGTTACTTCAAAATTTTAAATAAAAATTTCACACACTAATATTATAAATGATAAAAAAATTAATTTTTCAAAACCATATTTTTAATTTAAATGTAAAAAAATCAATTCGGCTTTCTAAAAAAAACAATTTGGAGGAAATCGTCAAATTATTAGGCCTAAAAATGATTCTTGCAATTAAAAGTTGAAATTTTACAATTCCATTGTTTTTTATTTGGATTTAAAACCTATAAAGACAAAGCATAAAAGCACACCTACTTGAAAGCATCAGAAGGAAGAATGCTGACATTAAATATTAAACTTCAATTCATAAACATGCGACAAATTTCTGCCATGACGAAAACTTAAAGTACTTCATAAAATTAGAAAATTATTTTTCTGAAATAATTCCGCCCAGTTTGCTTCACATCATCGTACAAAGTGTTGGTAGCCAGAAAACCAATGATCAGCTTGGTTGCTTTCACTCCGTTACTTTCCATTGTAACGAACCTGGCACTGAACTTGGCGACCATGATTTTCATGTACTACTTCACGAAAAACCAAACATGGTTAGTAAAAGTACAATTTTAAGTTCATTATTTCAATCTGCATTTGAATGTTTTTTTCATTTGAATGAGCGTGTCTGTGCTCTGGTGTATGTATTTAAATGTTCATTTTGTTCATACGTACATAATTCGATACAAAGTCATATTTACGAAGTATGGCTGTGTCACCGTAATATGAATCTGAGCTTATAAAGAAGTCTCAACTCCAATGATGAGTTTATAAAAAATTGTAAGAAATCTACAAAGCAATCAGAGCTTTAAAAACTATTGAAATCTGTTTTTCAAGCATTCACCCGAACTATACTATTGAGCTTGAGATAATTTCAACCATGCCAAGACATAATTTCAGTGTTTTTTCAACAACCGTATAAAACGTTTTAGCGTTTGAACCAGGCGGCTTGAAAATTAATTTGGAAATTATATACAATTTGTTTGTGAAGGAATTTGAGCTATAGTGCTTGAACTTTAATGCTAACGAGAGGCGTTTGCGTCATTATATAACCGGCCATCATCGATTTCATCTGCCTTAGGTAACGTTAAAAGATTTCATAAACTTATGATGTCTTTTTAATGTTGCTCTTTCTTAATAAAAATATGAATGAGCAATTCCAACTTAAAGTTTTGTGACTTTACTTGACTATCGAAAATTTGGTTGTTTAAAACAGCCATTTAATATGGGTTTACTGCAAATCAATTATATCTAAATTGTATAATATAAGCTCCTACTTCATCCGGTGTACCATGAGTAATAAATTAAAGATCAATTAAATGCCTGTTTGTATGAAAATTTATATTATTATTATTATTATTATTGAAACATTTATGAAGCGCTAATTAAACGAATCTCAAAAGCGCTATCTAACAAAAACTGAACTTAACAACATAATTGAAATAACAAACGAGAAATCATTATACATCGCACAGAAATAAGGTAAAAATTTGGTCATAAACAAAAAAGTAATCAATTCAATATAACGAAAATACGAAATAATATTTAGAACATGTCGACTAAACAGAAAGAATTGATCAATAATGCATTACAATGAAAATAAATGAGATTTCAGTTTCTTCTTGGAATCACGCAGGTTTAGGTCCGGATTTCTGAGAGCAGCAGGCAGGTTGTTCCAAACAGTTGGTCCAGAAACAGCAATGTTACGAGAGCCCATACGGAGACTCGTTGTTGGGATCAACAGCAGGTTTGAAACATCGGATCTCAAGTGTGTTCCAGATGCTTTTGAAGATCTCTTTTTGAACCTGTCAGACAAATAAGATGGAGCTAGACCGTTGATAGACTTGTAGACAAGTGTTGAAATTTTGAACAACACTCTTTTGTCGACGGTTAGCCAATGAAGTTCTTTCAATATTGGAGACACATGATCGTATTTTTGAGCTCCAACAACAACTTTTGCGGCTCGATTCTGTATTGATTGAAGTACAGCCATGGATCGATCAGGTAAGTCATAAAACAAACTGTTGCAATAGTCGACGCGTGAGTCCACAAATGCATGAACCAACGTCTGCAACGTGGATGTATCTAAGGATCGTCGAATTTGATTGATTTTCCTGATTTGAAACATGCATTCGGCTGAGAGCTTCTTAATGTGTTGTTTCATTGACAAACCTGAGTCAATCATGAAGCCCAGATTAGCTGCTGTCTGACAAAATGGGATGACCTCATCATTAACAGTTATTGAATTTATATCTATTCTTGAAAGTTGCTGCCATGTTCCAATTGGTAAAAAAACAGTCTTGTTTTGGTTTAGTTTTAAACCATTGTTTTGCATCCACTTATTGACCCCAGACAAACATTTAACCAGTTTGTCCAATTCTGATTTAAAAGAATCTGGCCTGCTCGTAACAATAATTTGCAAGTCGTCCGCAAAAGCATGACCTGAAAAACCAAATGATTCTATTATCTTTAGTACTTCAGATGTATAGATAAGGAATAGAATAGGACCTAAAACCGAACCTTGTGGCACACCAGACAGCATGACATTAACCTCAGACAATTTACCACCGAATGATACCTATTGTGATCTACCTACCAGATACGACTCAAACCACCTCAGAACAGCACCAGAGATTCCAAAACTGCAACGTAGTCTTGTTAAAAATACTTTGTGATCTACGCAATCAAATGCGGATGACATATCAAGAAAAACTAGCATTGCCACATTTTGTTCATCAATTGCCCCGTACACTTCTGAGAAAACTTGCAAAAGAGCATTTCAGTCGAGTGGTACTGACGGAATCCAGATTGATATTTCGGCAATAAATTGTTATTGTTCAAGTAACTGAGTGTTTTCCTGGCAACCACACGTTCGATAATTTTGGATAGGAAAGACAGATTAGAAATTGGTCTGTAGTTCCCAACATCATTTTCGTCTAGATTATGTTTCTTCAGCAGCGGAGTTATGATAGCATGCTTGCAGCCAGAAGGAAACTGTCCCACATTTAAACTGCTGTTTATCAGGTCTACCAACAATGGTGCGAATAGTTTTATAAACTTCTTTAATACGTGGGTAGGTATTTCATCTTGTTGACACGACTTTGTAGGTGAGTTTTGAACTAACTGTATTACCTCCTCTTTAGAAACCATAGAAAACGTTGAGAACAAACTATTATTGACACCTGATTGGAATTCTGCCAGGCTCAGTTGAGCATCGTTGTTGACACTATCTCTCAGCTTGCTTAACTTTTCATTGAAATAGCACATAAATCGATCAGGTGTTAGTTCATCCATATCCGAGCAGGATTTATCGTTACGACCCCTACAGAGAATGCTGTTCACAACCCGCCAAAGATTTTTTGGTTTCATCTTATTGTCATCAACAATTTTTGTCCAATACTGACGACGTTTTTTAGAGAAAAGTTCCAATTTATTCTTCAAAGCAGTCTTCCATTCATCTTGATGAATCAACTGTGAACTTTTTCTGTATCTTCTTTCCATTTTTCTGCACAAACGCTTGGCTAACCTGCAATCATTATCAAACCACGGAGCCATACGAACGTTATTGGTAGTCACTGCACGAATAGGGACAACTTTATCAGCAATAGGTTTTAACTCGTTGTTAAATAAATGCAATTCCTTGTCTACCTCATTGCTTTGACATGATTTGGAGAGTGGAGATTCAAGCACGAGTTTGATGAAGTCATCAACATTCATCTGATTCTACATTTTAGAATTTTTTTTAATTCCAACCAAATATCCTCGAGTCATCGACAGTTCAGCCCAAATAAAACTATGATCAGAATAAATTCCACTTGGATGAACTAAACAATCATGAACTGGAAAATCCTCGGAGGTTACTATCAAGTCTAGTGTACCACCACGTAAATGTGTTGGTGCTTTTACACGATTGATGAGTTGAAAATTATCAAAGATATCATTTAAATTAGCAGCATAAGGATCATTCGTCTTTTCAACGTGCACATTGAAGTCCCCGGTTAAAATAATTCGAGAACTGAGTACTGTAATGTTTTCCAGAATAGAAATCAGTTCTTTAAAAAATAATCCAGACAGCTGTGCAGGACCCGGTCTGTAAATAGCGAGCAAAATAAACTGACTATTAACTGTGAACCTGACCGCCAAAACTTCAAATGTTGTAACTGTAGGTAAGGCTATTTTTTTACATTTAAACATAGACAAAAAAATATTATCAATCCACCATGGAGAGGGTCGTTATCTCTTACACAATCTACAAAGCGGTAACCAGGAGGAGTAGATAACGCAATGGAGGGATTTTCTGATGAACCATGCCATAATTCAGTAACAACAAAAATATCCAAACCATCACTGATCAAATCATAAATGATGTTGTACTTTGAGCCAATCGATCTTATATTTAGTAAACCCAATTTTATTTTAACCACACAAAAGTTATTATTAGTCCGATCATTTTTGATTCCACCAATATTTCTACCAACAGCACCACCTTTCATTACATTGTTATTACCTACTTTTTTAAGATCATTAAAACCACCACTTTCATTACGATCATTACCGGTACCATTTGTTATTACGCAATCACTACCATCATCTTTACCACAACCATTTATACCAATAACGTTCAGATCGCTTCCAGTACCACAGACCATCGAATAACCACCACCATCAAGACCATGACCATCATTACAACAACCAAAATTAACATTACCATTTAAATCATTGCCAGTGCCTTTCATCATTAAACATTTATTACCGTCGAGAGATGAATCCAAATAATCGTCACCAATAACTCCAAGCGTCAGACTGCGAACACCAAAATCTTCACACAAACAACATTACTATTATTATTCAAATTAAAACTAACATCTTTTATGTTAAAATTGCCACCACCTTCTTTACCACTAACTCTATCACTTGCATTAATATGACCATAATTTTTAAAATCATTAACATTACAATTTGATATCGAATATTTTCTAATATCATCACCACGGCCATCATCATACCCACAAACATTACCAACAAAACTACTACCACCAATACTCTTTGTCGTCAAAGAGTCACCATGAAAGCCATCATCACCACCAACATTATTAGTTTTCGTCAGTTGAACACCTAGGTCTGTCTCTGAGTTACCGAAAATTTGACCACCCTCCATTTGCCAACCTGACCTCTTACAAGGTATAAAAAACCCTTGTCAGAAGCTTCCAATGCCCTTGCCTCCTCTATCTTTGACCTCAGTTCCTTTCTCTGCTCTGGGGAGAGATCGTGACTGAGTCCGATGCGACCCAGGCTGACGTCAAGCGATTTTAATTTAGAGACGTTTTTAATTATCATGTTTTTTATGTCAACACTATCCATTTTCAAAAGCAGCGGTCGGGTATGATCGTCTGATTTTTTTCCGAGTCTAGTTAGATGAACTAGGTTAGCATCAACAACATTATTAGACAGGTGTTTCAGAATTTTCATGACGTCCACCCGATCACTGCCACTCTCAGGCAAATGAAACATAATTAAATTATTTTCTCTTTCTTTGATTTGTTTAGCATCATTTATTGTCGTCTGGACTGTTTTTACTTCAGCCTTGATATCATCAGTGTGTCTTTTAATCCCGCGACTGACGATATCTGCAAATGATACTTTCATATCATTCTTCAAGATGTTCAATTCACCACGAAAAACATCAGAGCTCTCAAGTTGGTTTAACTTTTCTTTATTACTTTCTATTACTGCGTTGATATTCTCGAGCTCAGACTTTATATTTGCATTCAAATCGTTCAATGTGTTGAGTTTGTTGAAAACATCTTTTCTGAGAGAATCGACAGAGCTGGTCAACTTTTTAATGTTAGGTCCCTGACTTGAGCATCTATCACAGAACCATCTGAGGTTGGTGCTGGAATCCAAGAGGTTGCAAACCTCTTCAGGAATTGAAACACAGTTCGCATGCGCAAAGAACTCACACTGAGAACATTTAACAGCCTTCCCCTGACCTTTCGCCTCTGAACATTGCAAACATTTATTTTTATTCATTTTCACCAAAAAACAGTTTAACTTTCAATTTATAATATTGAACGTTAGAATCTGAGTTAATGTTCGTACACAACACTCCTTATGCGTTGACGACAACAAATTATATTCAGCTAGTTTAAAAAAAAGCTATATAACAATACAAGTTAATTCTAAATTAAATTATTTAATTAAATTGTTAACTAATTCAAAAAATAAAAATACGGTGATACTCCTCTTAATTTATGCTTTAAAAGGAATCCAAAATTAACAATATAACCTCGATATAAATTTGATAAAAATTACAAAAACGCAGAGAATATCAAATACGGCTAAACCCAACGTAGCGAAAAAAATGTATCTGAATACTGCATACTCAGAAGAAAAATGCTGATTAAAATTTATTTTTGAACAATTTGTAAGGTACGAGGATGGAGTGACGGATGAATTCATCAGCCATTTGAGCACATGCATCTACCTGGTGACCGCCATACATATCCCCATCATGGCCGTGATTTACTCGCGGGGACCACCTTTTCAAAAACATTTCATGTTCAACTGTTAGCGATCTTTCAATTTTGATTTAAATTATATTTACCGTTTATTGAAATACAATTTCAATCACAAATTTTAAAAAATTCTCCCCACGTAGAAATATAAATTTAACCGATTGCAAATTCTCTATGTACTTTTTCTCGACCCTATTTGTTCCATTTTGATGTTTTGACATTAGAATTGCTTCAACCCGACTAATTCAATTCTCAGTTAATCTATATTTAACTGTAGATCAAGTGAATATTGTAGTTAATGAAGGATATGTGTGATTTAGTGATCTGTTAAGCATCGTTCGATGTACATACGATAATGAATACTTTGCAGATGCTTTTGTGATCAATTTGATAATTGTGATAACGGCCAGCTATCTCATGATCATGTACTCCAATCCATGGTGGTCCACTCTTATGAAGGTATCTCGCAATTTTATTTTTTTTGTATTGCAGCCATTGCGAATCTGTTCTGCTTTGATTAGTTTTTATTTTAAAAAAATGAAATTGGGCGTGATTTTGAAATTTTGTATATATAAAAAAAAATAATGTTGAAACTATGAAAGTTGTTTCTAAATATTTAATTGTAATTTATTTTTTTTCTCCAGTTCAAAATGCCTCCATCGTATGAATACAGGGGTGTAATAGTTGGTATAACCACATTCCACTTCATTCTGTGCTACCTTTTCGAGGTTAGCAATTTTTTGATAAAATCAATACTTCTTGAGTTGTCGTAAGTATTATCTGTACTGAAAGTTGATATAATCATTAGATTATATAAACAGACTTAATCTAAACTTAATTTCATCTTTGTTTAAACTCACTTTCACTCTCACTCTATCCATTTCGTCATTCACAGAAACATGTCATTGGGGAATATGTTGAAACCATTGTTCAGCCCTGGCTGTCTAAGCTGTGCTTAAAGACGGCAACTAAATATGAAATCATCGAAAGAGAACTCAGTGTCAATGAAGAATGGCCTCGCGTGACTAGAATGGATATTGATCATTTCATGGATAGGGAGGTTGACGTTGAACCAGATACCGAGTCAGAGCAACCTATAAATTCGCTTAATGAAAAACGCCAGGAATGTCCTCCTGAAGTGAACGATCATGCAAAAAAAGTAAATTTAATATTTTCTCTTTTGTTTTGAAAGCTGCAAATGATGATTGTTAACTTTAATTTCCAGATTTCTTCAATGAACGAAATCTCATTTCACAACAAATGCTTTCAAATCGATTGTGCTAATGAAGAAACTGAAGTCTGAACATTTTTTAAAACCTTTGAAAGCGTTTTGTAAATAATTTTCGACATTAAGCAAACTTTTACTTTTTTACTTTATAACATTTATTTTAAAAAATTATTTGAATCGATAAATTTTAGATGAAAAACGTTAAGACCGGGTTAAAATCCTTTCTTAATGTTAGAAACGCTTACCGAAAATCCTAACATTACCTACTGTGACGCTGACCTAGAAGCATTTGCCCACAATCAATAATCATCTGCGCTTTCAGCAAACCTTAAATACCTACTATTTTTTTTTTAACTTGCTTTATCTTGAATAGGATATCTTTTCGAAACATTTCTTTCAATATTTTATTCTGCACTATAGGTTTTATTCTCACGACAATTTAAAGAGATCCCGATTGAATTTAATTGATTTACTTAATTTTTAATTTAAAAATTTTAAAAATCTTGATTTTGAAAAAGTCATGGTTTGATCGTTAAAATTTTTAACGCTCAAATCACTCACGTGTTTTCTGAAACTGAAGCATTATTTAATCGTTTGGTTTGTCATTCGTTTGATTTTCTGTTTAAGGACGTTGAAATTTCGTGACTTAGTCTAAATTTCGTCAAGCTTATGTATATATATATTAATAATTTAAAACTGTAAAAAGTTAATCACAGTTTTATGAAAAGAAGACTTGTCTCTCAAAGTGTATCGCTTAGATCCAAACATTTACTTATCAGAAAAAGCGTGGCATCCTTTGTGGACATCACTTTAATAGATTCCTAACAAAAGTTTCAAAATATATTTCTTCAATATCTGGGGTTCAATAATTTCTCATCGTGTGCTAAGTGGTTAAATTAAGCTGTGGTATCAAAATTCTGTTTCTACATTTTATGTGGACACGTCTGTGAATGATGTTTCTCAGTTTATAGAATTCCAAGTGCTTTGTCCTGTATCGAATTCCAAGTGCTTTGTTATTTGTGTGTGTGTGTGTGTGTTTGTGTGTTGTGTGTGTGTGTGAAATCATTATCCTTTTATTATCCCTTCATTTTAACAACAAATCCAGTGCTCCCCCGTTGTAAACGTTATTTGTGTTGAAAGTTATTAAAATTCATTTTTTAACGAAAAAAGTAGTGTTTTTGAAGGAAAAATGAACATTATTAGCCCCAAAAATGATGGTAAGTAAAATTTTGACTACATTATCATAAAAGTTAGCTTCCGTTCAAATGTTGGTCTCTTCCGGCGAAAATTGAAGCATCCAAAACAAATTTGTGAAAGTTCTCCCATCCAGGTGTTCCTTCCTAACCCAACTTTGAAAATGTTTTTAGTAGAAATTCTCTACCCCCCGGTCATTAACTTTTGATAACTTTTAATTGCATCATTTTTTTAAGCTTATTTTTCTCCGGTTTCCACTTTTTTAACTTTAAATGTTAGTTAAATTTAAGCGCTCCTATGGCAAAAACGTATTTTGGATCACGGGGTAAATAATTCATAAAGCCAAATTGGCATTATTTGTAATCGCAGCAACAAAATCCGATCTCGACCTTCTGAATAATATTTTTATAAATAACAGAATTTAATAAAATAAAATCGTCGGATGGTTCGTCATAAAAACTTTCAAATGTTTCTTTTTCTTCAACTTTCATTCTCAATGGTAGCCATTTTATCATCTTATTTGTTCTATCGAGTTATGCCATATTGTTTTTATTTATTTATTCATGAAATTTGTATGTGCGAGATAAAATATTTTATATAAATAAATAAAATTTAATTAAAAAATCAATTAATTTTATTTTATTATTCATTAAATTATTCAATTTCAATTTATGGTAGAAGAATAAAATGGATGTACTGGCAGTATTCGTTATTTATTAATAATAAATTTATTATTATTATTAAATAATAAGTTTGTAATCAAAGAAATTTTTTAGTGTTTTAATTTCTGTTTGTTACTCTGTTGCATTTTATAATTTATATCAAATTAAAATTAATTAAAATTAAAGCTGATAAAAATTTAAAGTGAAAAGTTTAGTTAATTAAAGAGGCATAAACCCTTGCTGTATTTATTATTTTATATTTATTTATTTTATAAGGATTTTCTATTTTTAATTTATCATTTATCGTTATTGAATTATTTAAAAATATAATAATTATTAATGTTAGTTATTAATATTGTTAAATATTAATATTATAATTTACATTGATAAGCTGTAGGTCAGGACATGCAGCACTGCAATTTTAATTATTTTTTAAATTTTTTATTAGAGTCTTCTAATAATAAATAATATCAATTTCAATTTTAAGTTTTTTTTCTTGTTTTATTAAAAGCTAATAAACAGTTAATTTTGACATTTGTTGTATTTACTTTTACTTATAAAAAGTAAAGACTAAACTGCCAACCAAGTTGTGACGAGTTCTTATTTGATTTCGCTTGATTCTGTGAGTTAAAGGATCACTAATTTCGCCTAATAATCCTTTCCTTTCAAAAAGATCATAAACAAGCAAGTGATGTTTCTTTACTTGTTTTTCTAAATTCATTTTTTATACATATTATAATCAGACATTTAAATAAGCAATGCAATGCAAATAAATTTAACTTTTTATTTGATTATTTTCATTTAATTATATTGAATAGTTGAAGAAAAAATGTCTGATGTTGATCCGGAGACTTTATTGGAATGGCTGCAAACAGGACATGGTAGCGAAAGAGACATGCAGCTGATTGCTTTGGAGCAGTTATGCATGCTGCTTCTTATGTCTGATAATGTAGACAGGTGTTTTGAAAGGTAATACATGTTATTAAATGTGTTTGCAATTTTTTCCACTTTAATAATAGTCATAGATAGTTTTGTAGAAATATTCATCTGTTTTTAATAAGAATAACTTTTAAAAATATTTCAGTTGTCCTCCGAGAACATTCCTTCCAGCTCTGTGTCAAATCTTTTTAGACGAAACAGCACCTGATTCTGTGTTGGAAGTGACTGCTAGAGCCATCACTTATTATTTAGACGTGTCCGCTGAATGTACTAGAAGAATAATTGCTGTTGATGGAGCAGTCAAGGCACTTTGTAACAAATTAGTCATCACAGACGTTGAATCAAGAACCAGCAAAGATCTTATTGAACAATGCATTAAGGTAAGTTATTTGTTTGTAAATTTATATTTGAAATTTCTTTTAACTAAAGATTTATATTTATAGGTTTTTTACTTTCAATTTTTTGACTGATCTGTCAAATTAATCTTTCAAGGTGCTCGAGTTTGTTTGCACAAGAGAATCAGGAGCAGTATTTGAGGCAGGTGGGCTTCAATGTGTTTTAACATTCATCAGAGAACATGGAACCCAAGTTTGCTCCATTTTATTTCTAAAATAACTTTTTATTTAAAAATTTTCAATTATTTTTTGATTGAGGGGCAAATTTTATTAGCACTTTTTTGACTAACAATTGAGATAGCATTGGTCTTTTATTGCTATTATTAGGTTATTTCTGTCATTTCTTTTATCAATCAAATCAACATGAAGGCCCAAGCCTGAAGCCGTAATGAGCATTTAATTTGCTTGATTTTGTGACAGCTTGTCTGCCTACCCATTTAATCCATTATAACTAATTTTATTTAACAATACATAATTTCAATGTTAAAAAATTGCATGACAAATTTCTGGCTTAATTTTATGATTTGGTAAAAACCATAAAAAGATGTCAAGAAAATTTTATTTATTAGTAGTGGAAAAGTTTTTTTATTTTGACTGACCAACTTGCAGGCTGGTTAGAGAAAATATTTTTGCAACCCAGATAAAATATGAAATTGTAAGATATTGATTAAGAAACAAGGGCAAACAAAACTTTTATCAACTCACTTGACAGCTATTATTATTCTGTTGATGCTTGGCTCTACACCAGTAGTGGGCAGATCTTCCCAGGTTGAACTATACAAATTCTTCTTTTTCTCATTGAGCAATATGTTTGCCTGGTAGGGAACTGACTTCAGTAACATGTTCTTGCAAGGTTTTTTGCTGCAAGATAATTATTCCTTCATGGTCATCTGTTTTGACTTTTTTAGTTTTGTGTATAACTTGTATGTTTCGTTTTAAAGTATTTTTTATGTTATATTCTTTAATAACGTCTACACTAGAGTTGTTGGTGTACGTTAATATTTCCACTTTTACTCTTAACTGCATTCGAGGTGTATTTTTTAATAGTCAATCATAGAGTGATAATTCAAAGTATTGTACAACGTTTTCATTATTTTAACATTAAAAAGCACTGTACCGTATGAATATCCAAACTATTTCCTGATTTGCATTTTATTAAGGCTCAACTAAGACGGGAATTCTGAACTGACAAACCATGTTTTCTCGTAGATGGCATGCAAATCAATTAAACATTAGTAACAATCAAAAAACTGAAAATATTTAAAATGAAACGTTAGAAAATAATGCTAGAAATTAGGAGTTCTTTTATTTTGATAGAAAAAAATTTAAAAAGCCATTTCATTTCATCTTTGATGTGCATTTGTAGGAAATCATGGAAAAATGTTTTAACGGTGGACTGGATGAATTAATTACATAGGCCTTATGTTGTTTTCTTCTGTATGAGTGTTTTTACATCAAAATAGTTCTATAGAAGGTCTTTGGATGAATTATTGATACTATGATGTATGAATGATGAAATTTGAATTTGATTTGAAAATTAATGTTGAAACTAGGTGCACAAAGATACCTTACATTCAGCCATGTCGGTTGTGACGAGGTTGTGTGGTAAAATGGAACCTCAGGATTTGTCATTGGACTTTTGCGTTGGCTCTCTGTCGAACTTGCTCGAGGATGAAGATTCATTTGTTAGTTTTTTTTACAAGTTTAGATTTTCACTTTCAAAGGTTACTGCATTTTGAATTACACAATTTAAATTGCAGAACTGAACAAATTATTATTTATATATTGAATTCATTTGTTTTTTTTTCTTAATTTATCAGCTAATGCAGCTTTGTATGTTAATAGTGGTTTGTTTTAAAAAACATTTCTGCAGTGCTGTTTTTAGTAGACATCTAGAAAGTAGAAAATGAGGTTTTTGTTTTAAATAATTGTATAATTTGTTTGATTTAAGAATCTAGTGCATTAATGCTACAAAAAGATAAGGTTAAACAACTATGAAAAAAAGTATAAATATAATATAAAAATAAAAAAAAAATAGGAATCTATATGAGGCTTGTATTAATTTAATACCGTTCCTATGATACTAGTCCAATCAGCTTGTCCTAATCTAATACTGTTATTCAGGAGAATGAATTCATTCATCATGCTTCCATCTATTTTATATTTAATTTAAATAAACTAATAAATATGCCTTTGTCATTCAGTCTCTAACCTCATCCAGAGTAGTGAAGCTTAGTTAAATTTATTTTGTATTTCAAGTCAAAAGTATCATGCTAGTTCATACTTTTTCAAGTTGGCACTAGAATGTTTACTTCAGAAAGTTGAAACTTGTTCAGGCATTTTTAACTGAAATATTATCAACTCTAAAGCTTTATTAATGGCTTAAACGTTATATAGAGGATCAGTAATTTAGATTTATTTTGTTCAAAAAAATATATAAAAGTTAATTTTAATTTTATTAAATTTTAAACATAAATTGTTTAACATGTTGTTGTGGTGGTGGTCAGGTCGCTGACGGTGCTCTTCGATGTTTTGCTTCACTGGCCGATAGATTCATCAGGAGAGGAGTTGATCCATTACCATTGGCTCGAAATGGATTGATGGATGAATTATTATCCAGACTGCAGTGTGGTGGTCCGTCATTGCATTCTTCTGCATCATCTGCCGCCCTTCCTGGGGCTGTAGGTCTTGCTCCAACAGTTAATGCCACTTCTGAATTGAAATCGTCCAATCAGAGTTTCTCAATTGTCATCAGTTTGCTGTTGACCTTATGTAGAGGTTCAGAATCTTTCACCCATGACCTTTTTAGGTCAAATCTGCCTGCTGCTATTGAGAAGGCCATGCAAGGTGATGATAGGTCAGTTTTCATAGGGTCACGTTTCTAATTTCTTGTTTAATTTTTATATATTTCAATTTTATTTTATATTTTTAGCGTAATTTTTAGTTTATCGTTTTTAATCTTATTATTATATTAATTCTTTGCGTGTGTATTAAACTTTTTAAGAGTTTGATTTTTGTAAAAAAAAAAAAAATTCAAATAATTTACAACATCCACGTTGTGCCATTCATTTTTACAGATGTGTCATGGATACAATGAGATTGGTAGATTTGCTGATGATTTTGTTGTGTGAGGGTAGGAAAGCCCTTCCGAAACAGGGTGGAGGAGCTAACCTGGCTGGACCACTCGGACCGAGGAGAAGTGAAAGTTCGGGCGAGCGATCCCACAGGCAGTTGATTGACTGCATCAGATGCAAAGATACCGATGCTTTAATCGATGCCATTGACAACTGCAGTATGTTTTTTCCTTTTTTCAACTTTCTTCTTCTTTCTTGAAAAGATATGCACCAAAATAAATAATTATGAAATTGTAATTTTTAAAGTATCGGTAGTGCTATTTAAAAGTCATCAAACGTGAATTGTTTGCAGACATGGAGGTCAATTACACAGATGACGTTGGTCAAACATTACTGAACTGGGCTGCTGCATTTGGAACTCACGAGATGGTAGGCACTATTGATATATTAAGTGCATTGGTGCACTAAGTGCATTGGCGCATTAAGTGCATTGGTGCATTAAGTGCATTGGTACATCAAGTACATTGGTACATTAAGTACATTGGTATATTAAGTGCATTGGTATGCAAATAAAAAAAGTTTTGAGTTTTCATTTGCACATTGCCTGCATTTTGGTTTAAACAGATGATTAAATCTTGTTTTGCAACAATATACAAAGAGAGTTAATTTGTGGTGTATGAGAGGTTGTATAATATCTCCATCAAATTTAATATGTCTGGTTTAATAATTTTTGCTGATTCAACAGATTTAATTTTCAATTTAAGGTTGAATTCTTATGCGAGCGAGGAGCTGATGTGAATAGGGGCATGAGGTCGTCTTCGCTGCACTACGCTGCTTGTTTTGGAAGGCCACAGATTGTTAAGGTTGGTTGCTTTCATAATTCAGAATAAAAATTCATATCTCATTCAATATCTAGTTCAATGTATTTTTCAAATAGCAATTTTAAAGTTTCAGCTGATTTCAGATAGGTTATAAATAAAATACATTATAATAAAATACATATTTTTTTGTAATTTCAGACTCTTCTACGTTATGGTGCTAATCCAGACCTGAGAGATGAAGATGGCAAGTCTGCACTTGACAAGGCTAGGGAAAGAGGAGATGAAGGCCACAGGGAAGTTGTCCACATCCTCCAATCACCGGGTTTGTTTTTTAAATGTATGGATGGTTCACAGAAAATGTTATTATTAACAAAACCTTGGTATATTTTATTAAAATTGATTTTTTTTTCATAATTTTCCATTTCCATTCTTAATTCCTTCTTCTTCTGTTTTTCTAAGTTATGCATTCTCAATCCATTGAGATACAAATTGCCTCTGCTAATTGCCAACCTATCCAGTTCTCATTTCATCATGTCAGTGCATTCGTTTACATGTTCCTCTAATGAATTCAGATGTGATCATAAAAGATTTTAACAAAACATTGAGTCAGTTTTCTGTTTTAAACACAGCAGAAGTTTTTGTCTTCTTGAACGTGCGTAGGAGGAGGAGGAGGAAGATATTATTTTTGATGATCAGTGATCGATCATTTATGATTTTAAAATATACTTCTCACTGAAGGGGAGTGGTTGGTGACAGGTGAACCGTCTCACACCTCAACGTTGAATGCCGCTGCAACATCTGCTGCTCAACAGGCAGCTGTTGCTGCCACAGAAAATGAACCACCACCACAACAACAGCCCGATCACGGACCGCCTGACAATGATCCTGAAATGATTCCAATTTATATGAAGAAACTTCTGCCCATCTTCATCCACACATTTCAATCATCCATGTGGCTGCCAGTCAGGTATGATTAGTATGTTCGGTGATGACGACGACGATGAGGATAAATGATAAATGAAAAATCATCTTTATTAATCATTTACATCCATCTGCACGTCGATTGATGAAAACCATTTTTTGTTAAGTGAAATTTTATATCAAAGAAATCTGAGGAAAACTTTGTTTATAAAATTTTATGGTTCTGATGGTGGCTTTCAAACAGATTCTTTGATGAAATCTCTGATGATAAATAGTGATGTTTAAACATGACAATTTTATCTGATGTTGTACTCTTTGTGTGTGTGTGTGTGTGTGTGTGTGTGTGTGTCTGTGTGTGTGTGTGTGTGTGTGTGTGTGTGTGTGTGTGTGTGTGTGTGTGTGTGTGTGCTTGTGGGCTTGCGTCTGTGTAAAAAACCAAATTTTACTTTTATTTAGTATTGTATATATATATTTTTTAATTTACAAAATTTTTCTTTCACAGAAAGGCCAGTTTGACATTAATAAAAAAAATAATCGGTTATATTGAGGCATCGCTTCTCGAAGAAATTGTCAAGCCTGATTCAACGTCATCAAATAGCAACATATCAGTCCAGTTGTCTGAAATTCTCTCGACCGTCCTGAATGCAGAGGTTGTGCACGTGTTATATAATTATAGTACATGCATATAATTAACATTTCTTGAAATCTTACCTAATTGTTTTTTTTGGCATGACATTATCTACCAATTAATATCTAAATTCAGGAAGAGGAGGAAAGCCATTATGTGGTTCTGCAGATAATCCAAGAGCTGCTGAAGAAGTATCCATCAGCATTCATGGACCAGTTTGTGCAGTTGGGCATCTTCAATCGCATACAGAATATGGCTGGTGGCGAGGGAAACGAGGATGAGAAGATCGCTAGTCATGCATTCAGTGATCACAACTCTCATGTCGGTTTCTTTCTTATTAATTATTCGTTGGTCGCGCGTTTTTTCTTAATTCCATCATATTCCAATTTTTCATTCAGAACACTTCAATTGCATCTGCCAATTTTGACAAATCATCTACATCATCTCTATCAACCACGGTGGCATCCGATCACAAAGAAATGGTTATGTTCAGACCATACACATGGAAAAGTTGGTGTTTGGTAAGAGGTAGAGATTGCATTTATTTGTGGTCTGAATATGCAGCTCTTGAACTTTCAAACGGTAGTAATGGCTGGTTCCGATACATATTAGAGAATAAATTGTCGACCATGTACTCCAGTGGGAGCCCAGAGGGTGGAACTGATAGTTCAGGTCACTCTCTTTTCCATTTTTAAATAAGTCTTATTTATTCAAGTTGACAATTAGCCTCATTGTTTTTTTTCATAGAGAATCGAGGAGAATTTCTTGAGAAACTTCAAAAAGTGAGGAATCAAGTAAAAGCCAGCATACCAGTTCAGTCAATTTTTGCAACCACTGATGCATCAGCCCTGGTTGTTGGAAATTGGACTTTCGTCTGCAAGAATGATAATGAGCTACACATTCAAAATTCAGATGGACAACAGGTTTACTTCATTCTTTTGACTGCATCATCATTCTTAATAGTAATGGGAGAAAAAAAAAATGTTTGATCATCTGAAACGTTTCGTTGAATGTGCTTTACATTTTCTTAATGTTTGAAATTTTTAATTTCTATTTATTTTATTTGCTGATTGTTTTATGATTCATTGTTTCATTAATTTGATTTGTTTGTCATGGTTTTCTATCCAGACGACCATATTGAAAGAAGATCAGACAGGGTTCATCTTTGAGTCCAACAGAGGTACAAAGCATCCTTTCATATCCGCAATATCTCTGGGACCTGAGTTTGCATCTGGGTGGGCTGGACATAAAAGCAAAAAGTTCTTCTCAAAGACCGAAGAAATTAAGCAGAAGGTTTACATTTAAGACACGTAATTAAAAAAATATCGTGATTCCTTTATATTATTCTCTTAATGCCATCACTCTTTAGATGCATTTATTCAAGTTTTAAAGATGAGTTTTCAAGAAATTGTTCGTAGGACCATCTTATATCTGTTGTTAAATCAGTTGATTTTGATTTTGTTGTGTTTTTCAATACTAACTTTATCCATGCTTTTCCAACTCCGCTTTTCACATCCTCATCTGGTCTTCCATCTTTAATGAGCACATAATCAGAATTGGGAAAGATTCCATTTTTTAAACTTTCTCATTTCTGAAAACTCTTCCCTGCTTTCATCCCACCCCCTAGTTTCTCTCACCATAAACTACTTCCAAACTAACTTTTGTAAGTCCTCTTAAACTCATCGGTCTTCCATTTTGGATTTCATTTAATATATTTGTCATCTCTTTCTGTTCTATTCAGCTAACTCGTTTTTATGTAATGCTGTTTTACTGACATTGGCCTTTAAACTCTTTCATATCATAGCATTTATTTGATTAGATTTTCCATTATTTTTTCATTCTGAAGTTTTTAGCATAAGTATTATATTTTAAAAAACAATTTTTTATTTATTTAAATAGAAGGCCAACTGTGACATCATTTCACTGTGAAATTTGTTTGTCTTTAGGTGAAAACCTTGGCATACGACATATACCAAGTCCATTTCAAAACAGCTCAGTCAATACCGAGAGGGACCATGTCACACTTGCACAATATTATCAACAAGCTGGAATCTGCCTGGAATCAACAAATTAAAAATGTAAGCTGGATATTTTAAAAATTCAGAATCTAGGGAAGTTTTTATTTCTAGAGCATTGTCTGTTGTTTTTTTAATTTGTTGCAGTCACACACACACAAATGTATATTATATATATTTTCATCTATGAAGATGCCTTGGGAAGATGAATTAAGAAGTTCATATGAAGAAATATTGGCTTTATTCAACGATGAGCATGCCATGTCGGCTTACGAGTTCTACACAAGTGGCCTCATACAATCACTCCTCAATACTCTTAATGTAACTCCTTTTTATTTGCTTTTCATTGTTTTCTTCTTGCATGTATCCTCATTTTTAGTCATCTATCGCTTTCCTTTTTTTCAGCTCTATGAAACTAGAGTTCTTTAGTTTTACTTATATAGTAGTTTTTTATTCAACATTATTTTATAATTTCTGTTTTTGAGTTTTAGAATAATGCACAATATTTTTTTTAATATTTTAAGCAACTAGCAACCTGATTGAAACCATCATTCATACGATCACTTATATATTTTAACATTACATGACAGTTATATGTAGACAGCAATGATATGAAGCTACTCACCAAAAAAAGGGTGGATCTCTTCAAACAAGTTTTCAAAGATAAAAAAGTTGGGTGAGTATGTACTTTAAATGTATTATTTTTCTGTGAAATATCATTAAATCGAGCATAAAACCTTTGAGGCAGGAGCATTTATCTGCTTTTATTTAGAATGAATGTTGGTAAGCTGAAAAATTATCCAGTGTATATGTGCGTCTCAAAATATGCTTCTGGGATATTCATTATTGAGTTTATTTTGTACTTATAAGAATCATATTCAACTGAAATGGTATATTGTGGCGCCATGGCAGCTTAAAACATTGTTTGATTTTTTATAATTTTAATAAACTAAACAATTAGGACAACATTTTATTCTATTTACAAAGTTAAATGAGTGAAAAGTTCCCGTTGGTTTAACAGTGCTAACATTGCTGGATCCTTCAAAGTGGACATGTCACTTAAGATGCCATTATATGCAGCGAAGTTAGAAACACATTCAAGCGTAGATATAAATTCACTAAAGAGCAAAGATGAAGCAACCGTTGAATCTGGACGATACAATGAAAACAACGATGGTTAATTATTACCATCAAATCAAGATTTTCAGTATCAATTAACTCAAACACTCGGCTATGCTTATCTCAAAAGAACGGACGTTTAATAATCTAATAGGAAGCTGAATCACAATTTGCAAAACCAGTAACCAAATCTGAAGTACAACTTGTAATTTTTTTGAAAGCTACAATTTCTCAGCGCCCCATCGGACTACAAACTCTAGTACTCACTATATGTGTTCTTGTGTTATAGAAGGATCAAATGCAGTTATATCCATTACAATTTCAAAGTTGTTTCCAATTGCAAATATTTTATGCTACGTATAGGGCGCTGCACAAATCATATTATTATTATTGTTGTTATTATTATTATTATTTTTATTTGAATTCTTCCATTTAAAAATATCTTTTAACAGTTTCAGCATTATTTTGGTTATTTTAACTTAAATCAGTATTTGAATTTTAAAACAGAAATCAATGTGCGAGTGCGTTACTAGTCCGAAAGTTGATTGCGGTTCTGGAATCTATAGAAAAATTGCCAATTTATCTTTTTGACCTACCTGGCACAACATTTAGCTTGCAGGTTTTTTTAATGGAATATCATTATTTCTATTAAGAATATTTGAAACACAGCTGATAAAAAAATTTCATTTTTTTTTGCATTATATTACTTTGAAGTACTTTTAAAAATTGTTTTAAAAATGAAATTCTCCGACAGATACTTTCTAAGAGGTTGAAATTTAAATTTGAAAGAGCTGCAGAAGAATTGAACCTGGTCGACAGGACAGGAAGATCCCTTAAGATGGAACCTCTAGCCACTGTAGGAGCTCTTGAGAAATATCTTCTCAAAATGGTCTGCTTCTATTTCTTCTTTCTATTGTTGCCCATTTTCATTCACCGAAATGCAATGGACGGATGTTTTGTCGCAAATGATTGCATTTGTGAGTTTAATATTTTAACAAGGTCGCCAAGCAGTGGTATGATTATGATCGCTCCAGCCACACCTTTGTTAGACGACTCCAAGAAGCAACTTTCAAAGAAATCACATTTTGTCACCAGAGGGATTTTGATGAGAACGGACTCATCTATTGGATTGGTACCAACGCAAGGTGTTTTGAACTTCAAATGTATACTTTAGATGCACCAATATAAGCATTGGAAATAATTCTGATTATTTTGTTGTAATATTCTTCGTCAGTTAACACGAATTTGTTTTACGATAACAAACTTCGCCACCAGAACAACAAAAGATTGGATTAATCCAGCATCTTGTGGTTTGATGGTTGTGTCATCTTCAGAGGGACGCACATTGCCGTATGGAAAGTTGGAAGATATTCTTAGTCGAGACACTGCAGCCATCAACTGCCACACAAATGATGACAGGTATTATGTTCGCCTGATATGCTTTTCCTTGTTCATTGTAAATATCTTTTTAGTTGTTCGTGTTGTTAAAGACTAGTAACCTAGCTAAACGGTTGATAAAATGTTGTTGCTAGGAAAGCTTTTTCCTAGCTAAACGGTTGATAAAATGTTGTTGCTAGGAAAGCTTGGTTTGCCATTGATCTTGGAATATGGCTCATTCCTACATGTTACACCCTGCGCCATGCGCGAGGCTACGGAAGATCTGCATTGCGGAACTGGTTGTTTCAAGTTTCTAAGGATGGAATAACGTGGCTGACCATGTTCAACCATGTTGAGGATACCAGTCTGAACGAGGCAGGGTCAGTCATTTTGATTTTTGGTTCAATTATCATAAAAAAGGTCATAATTTTTTAGCTTTTCTTAATAACTTTCTTTAATGCAAACAAAACAGAATATTAAATTGAAGAATTTAATTTTTCAGTAAATTTATGAATGATGGAATACCTTTGTTTATTCGTTCATTTCTAATAAAATTGAGTCAATTGTTTAGGTTCAGCAAATATAATATATAAATCCACGTTTGTGCCTTATTTAAAAAAATATTTCATATTGCTACATTGAAATGACACAATGAAGTTTTGTGTGGTTTATCTTATTGGAAAACTTATCCATGTTGAATTTTTTGCAGTTCCACAGCATCGTGGCCATTGGAACCATCGAAAGAGGAAAAAGAGGGATGGAGACACGTTAGAATTCTTCAGAATGGGAAGAATGCCAGTAGTCAGACGCATTATTTGTCTCTGTCGGGGTTTGAAATTTATGGCACTGTTACTGGGGTGTGCTTGGACTTAGGTTTGTGAATTTACTGAATTATAAAATAATTTTTAAAGTTAATGATATATATGCATTAGTGTTATTCTCATTATGTAACATGGATTTTGGGATTGAGGTAGTGCTCTAAGGTCTTTTATTTGATAGATAATTAAGTTGATATTTACACGTAGTTAGGAATGGTTTGTTGTCAGTGAGACAAATTTTATCTATGAAAAAACTTATTTTATTTTTTTGAGCATTGCTATTTAATTTTTGTTTTTTGACGACAGACAAAACGGTTCGTGAATCAGAAGCTCAACAACGTCGTCAACGTCGCTACATTCGCATGCATGTGCTCAAGAATATTGTGCCTGGAGTGAAAGTAGTTCGTGGTTTGGATTGGAAGTGGAAGGATCAAGATGGATCGCCTCCTGGTGAAGGAGTTATCATTGGAGAGTTGCACACTGGTCTGCTTGCCTATTGAGATTTCTTCTGTTTCAAATTAATTATTTTGCTTTAATCATTATTAAATGGTGCATCTAGATTATAATTGTGCTGAAAGATCGTTTCATTCCTCCGCTATGGTGACTTATTCTTCACGTCTATCCATGTTCTTTAATCCAGCCTTAAACAATTAACTTTTTTTTGTTTTCCATCTAAAATATTTTTATTTCGACATTTTACGTACTCAGGCTGGGTGGATGTTGCGTGGGATGCGGGAGGATTGAATTCGTATCGCATGGGGGCAGAAGGAAAGTATGATCTGACGCTGGCTCCGGCGCACGGGACTGAGGGTGCAGTTGGATCGCACGAAGGCACGAAGATCAGAGTATCGTCTGCTTGGAGGGATAACAAAAACAAAATGCTCACCGTATGTTCTATTTTAAAACTATTGCTATGCACTTGAAATAATTCAACTCCACACATAAATGCACAAGCACATATTTACTTTACTAATAAATTACTATACTAGAAAGTTCGGAAAATGATTTTTACCTTCTCTTTTATATACTATCTTTCTGTCACGTTGTCATGTGATTGATATCTATCTATCTTATCATTTTCACCCACTTCCGATGCACCTAGCCAGATGAAATTTTTAGAGTAGGAATAGTAACCCAATAAGCTTTCATATTCGATGACCGTTAATTAAATTAAATTAATTAAATTTTAATTGAATAATTGACTTCACGAGCTTTATAAAGAAACGCAAAACCTGAAGTTGTGATGGTAAAATTTCCTGGCGAATAAATTTCAAATATTTTCAATAAATGCGGCAAGTAATTTTTTCGATGACAATGGAAGAATTAATCAACAAACTTTTTTAATTGATATATTAAATTAAAAAATAAATGTAAATAAAAAATGAAAGCATTAAATGGTAACGACGAATATATAAATTTTAGTAAAAGGAAGAGTTTTTTAAATGCTTTAGTTAGAGTGTTGTGTTATCACAGTGCTGTTTGTTCCCGAATGTTATCGACCGTGAAATGAGATTTAAACACTCAATGTTTTATAATGCTTTGTTTTTCTAAAATCTGCATCAGAAATGTTGGTCCTACAAAGTGGATGGTCGAATTACTTCAGAATTGAGAACTCAATTTTCATTGTAATCTGTAAAAAAAAACTTTCAAAAAAGCTTTTTTTAAGTCATGCTTATTGTTTTATTTCAATTTTTAATGGAACATTTTAGTTGAACTATTCAAATAACCGAACAGAAAAGCAGCAATGTACAGCCACAACTTCAACAACCTCAAGACGTGCAGCAGCACTTATCTAGCCGCAAAAGTTACTCGACACCGAGTTTAAGTGAAAATGTTGAGCCAAAACAGCCACCAGTTCCATTGGACCAAGTAATGTCTGCAGAGAATCTCACCACCACATCTGCTAACACGGCGGTTATGGTTAGTTAGTTAGTTAGTTACTAGTTATTTATCATAAGAAGACTTATCTCTATCTTGTTTTTAGACTTTGATTTGATTATATTATTCATTAATTTACTCTATAATGATAATTTTTATCATTTAAATCAATGATCCAAGAAAAATGTATTTTTGGGAACATTTTGTGTTTTGTGAGTACATTACAAAAATCAGGTGCTGGTGATAGCTCGAATTGTTGTCTTATTATAGAGATACTGTGGAGTAAGAGAATAATTTGGTTGGCACATGTGGCATGAAGCATTGGTGAGAGGAAGCAATGAAAGAATGTTGCAACTTGTGGAAATAAATTAATGAATGAATTACATGTGTCTTGAAAAGACGGCATAAGCATGCTATAAAATACAAAATTAATTTATTATTGAAGTTGAGATATTTGTAATCTCATATATTCAGATCATTGATTTGTGTTTGGTCTTACCTTGACTGAGCTTAAAATTTAGGCGGTGCAATAGTTTAATGGTTAAGGTGCCTGGCATTGTTAATGGAGTGTCCAGGTTCGAATGTAAGGTGATCCCTGCCAACTGCATGCAAAAGTGTGTGATGTGTTGACTCACGTATTATATGCTACGTGTTTGTTGTAATGTAATAATGATAGTGCGCCTCAGTCGCTTGCCGTGGCGCTATATGAAATGACATTATTATAAAATATAATTGTGATGATGATTGTTGTAAACGTGCTACTTTCCGTCAGTTTAGAAATTATTTTGAAAACAACAGGACAGTTCATCAAGAGCCCCAAAATTGGCCATAACTTGCTCTTCAAACCAAATGTCTTCTGATAACCAGCAGGAGTATGACAGTCTTGATTCTGTTACAGTGAAAGTGGATGTGGTGGATGATTCTTCAGCCAATGCCAGAACTGTAAATGTCACTCCAGTCACCACAACCCCCGCCATAGAAACATCAACCGCTCTGAAACTCTCCAGCTGTGTTGTACCAACTACTCAGATCAACAACAGATTAGCATCAGAAGCGGTCGCCTCAGCATTTTTGTTGTCTTCATCTTTACAGCAAGTCTCCAATCATGGAACATTGAAGCCAAGCATCATGAGGAAGTTGTTTTCTCAAGATCTTCTGCTGGAGAATAACAGGTTTGCAAGTGCATCATCCTCTGCATCCAACAGGCTGCTCCACAGAGCCAACAACAACCCACTTGGTTGCTATGTTTTGGGTGGGGCTTCTAATGACAGTTACCTGCTCAACATGTTACAGCAAAATGACACTCTTCAGCACCAACTCGGTTCGCTGTTCAGACGTCTCCCACTCAGCAGGAATCAAGAGGGGCGGAGGAACAACAACGAGATTAACAATGCACAGTTGAAAGCAAAAGCACCTCATCAGCCAACAAGTCAAAAGCAAGATGGGGTATGTTATTGCTTGTTTTTTTAAATATATATTTTGTGTAAATAGTTTTGCAACAAACAATCCTAATTTTAATCAGGTGGAGTTGGCAGTTGGTTTTCCTCAGCCTTCTTTGCCATCCACATCTTGCTCAACCCCTTCCACAGTAGCACAGTCGATGAGTGTCAGTGTACCAAACCTCAATACATCTCTCGATCAAACTGTCAGCTTCCTGGAATCCTTCTCAACTATTGCTCGCTGCAACTTGACAAATAACCTGAGCAATTTGTTGGACTCAAACAATGAAACTATCAACAGTGCTGATCAAAAAGTTCATGCTACTCAGTCTACCAGTTTGTTTTATTTTCTGTTTGATGCTTAAGCTCATAATTAAGTTTGGCAGACGACTTAATTCTTTTTTAACCTCTTCAATGTATTTATTGTTCTATTTTATTGAAAACATAAAATTGAAGTTTACTTTATTGTACTCAGCAGGCAACAACAGCACACTGCTCTCAACAGCTCAGAGTTTTCCAAATTTGACATCTGGTAGCAGCAGCTTAACAACGCACACACTCACATCTGCTGCAGAGAGTAGCAGGATCGCCAGAAGAAATAACAACAGCCACGTCACTGCACTGAGTCAAGCGTTGACCATGAGTCTGGCATCTAGCGACAGTGATAATGACTTTTTAGAGATGTGTCGTGCTACTACGCTGCTTGCTGAACTGGAGGATGACGATGAACTACCTGAAGTGGACGACGAATGTGCCGACAATGAGAATGAAGATAACGACCAGCAGCACCACAAAACTGAGGAGGCCATGGATCTCGATGATACAACTGCTAGTTTATTTCAATTATAAAGCTCTTAAGACGTTTATTTTCATTATTGTTTAATATTATTTTTTGCGTTTCTTTGAACAAATTACCATTAAACTTTTTTATAATATTGTTTTCAATTGGCCTCTTCATAATTATTAATAGTTTCTATTTAAATAGTAATGTTTTTTCCATCTAACAAAGATTGCCATCAATGAATATTACCGTTTTTTATTTACTTCACCATTGATAAAATAATTTTTAATGTATTAAAACTTTATTTAATCATTTTAAATTACTTGTAATTTATAGCTGTGTTATTTGTGAAGCAGTGGAGAAGTTAATAACTACAGTTTGAATAAACCAACCAGGATGACCAAGATGAAAGTGAAAACACGACAAACAACAAAGCGTCAAATAACCTTGACATCAGCAAGAAGAAAACCTGGGATGACGAATTTGAATTGAAAAGACAATTTTCTTCTCTCATTCCAGCTTTCGACCCGCGCCCTGGCCGCACGAATGTCAACCAGACGCAGGATTTTGACATCCCTCCACCTGGACAAGATCTCAACCTATCAGATCCCGGCACAGCCATCACGTCATCATCCATGCTGGCTGGCTCTAACGTCCCAGTCACTCACCTATCCTTATCTCTTAAACATCTTCCTCAGGCTAACAGTGCGGTGCGCGGTTTTTAGCACCATTATATTCTTCTTTGTAAATATATAGTAGTTTAATATTATATTGGGAATTGGATAAATCATTTAATTTTAAGATTTATTATTCCAGGTTTTATTCCAGATTTATTCCAGTTTTAAATTTATTTTGAGATGTAAAGTGTAGATGTTTAATTAACTTTTCTTTTTTTTATACTTAGAACCATAATTTCTATAACCAATTTTTTTAAATTTTGACCCCCATTATGGATGTTCTAAATGGGTAGTCTTGTGTTTGTCGGAATGAATGGTCTCGTGTTTGTTTCCTTGTTGGAAAAAGTTAATTGGTGCTGTTTGGAATAGAAACTTTTGTAGACCTAATTTACTTTGAAAGAAACATTTATTCGTGAAGATATTTTCAATTATGAAGTTTTTATTTTCTTCAGGCTGACGAAATAGAAATTGCGTTAGAAGACAGAGAGGCGAGTATCTTTAAATACGTCCAAAATCTAGTCATCCAGTCATCTGCACCCTCTTCCAACAACAAACAAGACAGACTGAAACGCATTTGGGAGCCTACATATATGTTCGTTTGTTTATTTTGTACGCTGCTCATTTAGTTTGCACTAAACATAATTTTTTAATTTCATTGAATATCAATAAAATCAATTAACTATTTGATTGACTCGTTGCATTTCTATGTGTTCATGCTGTTTATTTTCATTTTAAATTATATAAACGTATAGACTCACACACACACACACACGCACACATTATTTATATATTTATTTATTTATTTATACTTACAAGATGAACAATGCTTACTGCTTTTATTTAATTTTAACTAAAGTTTTTTATTTTTGAGATGCACTAGTTTTGCAACGACGCAGATAGGTCAAATAAGTTCATAGGTTAAGTGCATTTGAGTGACAGGGGGCATGGTGTAAGGCTGTTCGTGAAGGTTCACTCAATTATTATACAATTCTTTGCTGTGGGTATATGCTGCATAGTTCTTCATGAAAAAGATACAAACTTATATAACTTATAAATATAACTTTTGTATAATTTATTTATTTATATTATAACAATTTAACAGCATTTCCTATAAAGAATCGAAGTGTAACCCATATCCCAACCAACATGCTCATGTGGTATGTATACAAGTTTTTGCACACTTTTTCATCATTTAACGTTGTTTGTCATTTTAGCGAGTTTACTTTGTTATTTGTTAACAGATGTCGTTAACCTTTGTATGTTATTTTTTTTTCTACTATTTTTTCCGCATTGTCCATTATTATCAAGTCTTTTACTAACTGCGTTATTTTGGAAAACTAGACAAGTGTCGATTTGTTGGCTAGTGGGAAGGATAGCAAGTGCTGCGTACTAGTGGAATTAATTGGGGCTAGATTTATTTAACTTTTTATAACACAAAAACACCAAGAGCACTGCCAATCATCTTCTTAAATTTCATCACTTTTTTTATCCCGTACGTTTTACAACTTTGCAACTCTAGCAGGGTTATTACACTTTTGAGGATGTTCTTTTGGTTTCATTTATATGATACAATTTAAGTGGCAGTTCATAAATTTCGTTCATCCGTTCTCATTCGTCCTCATTATAGGATGGTTGGCCTATTTGGCAAGTGGCGCAACAGCTTGGCACTGCTCTGCTGCCTAAACGCATTTTGATTAATTATATGCAAGAACGAGCCCCTCAACACTTTCTCGAAAAGTGGAAACTTATTGGTGCCGATAAAAATGTCAAAAAGTGTCATAACTGCTCTCAACTGACCAGAGCCTATAAGGTCAGTTGTTCAGTTGTGCTGTCACGTTGTATTGATGATGTGTCTTTTTTATGTTTGCTTGGATTGTTGTCTTTAAATATTTTTGTTATTGTTTTAAATTACGTTTAGCTAGCATCTCCTTTTTCTAGATATGTTTTTATATTACTAAATTTAATTTATTTACCAGCGTTTATTTATTTTTTTCATCAGTTATTTTGGCCTTTTAAGAAATTTAACAAATCCCTTATGAATTTCAACAACCTCTTTCCCTACATCTTGCAGTGTTGTGCCGTGTTTACTATTTTAACAAAGAATATTGTTTATGTTTTTTTTTAGTTTTTACGTTTTAATTCTTCATGGTTCCGCATCTCCGTCAAAACGTTTCCCAGTTTTTTTTTTATTTTCAAAATTTTTTGACTAATCGTGTGATGAACATTCTCTTTCTTTCTCCACTTTAACTTGTCTGTGATTGCTTCATTGTCAATCATCTACGCTTTACTTCATCTGCATCTTGTGTCATCTACACGTGGGCTGTTGCTTTTAAATCATGATCTGCTTGCTGTCTCTTAACAGAAGACCTGATGTTAAAGTCTCCGACTTTTAAAGCACATATGAATGTTAACCATCAAACTGGCCGTTGGATCTGATAAACTAATTGGCAAATTTAAACAGTTCTTTTTTGAAGTTGTTGCACGTATTCTGACTCTGAGCTTTCATCTGGCACGTTGAACAAGCTTCCTTTACATGCTTATATTTGTTAATAAATGTTGCGTTTTTCAAAGTTTTTAAAAATTTGTTGTTACTATAGTTTTAATAGTTTGATATTCTGAGAAGACTTCGTTGTTTTGCTTAAGTTTCCATTTCTAATTAAGAATATCCATTTTTCCGAATAAGCTTATGCATTTTAAAAATTAAGTTTTTATGAAGTGAAACAGTTCAATTTCATTTGTTAAGTGTAATAACATATAAACTTTATTTCACGAATATTATGAAGCTTTTTTACTTTCAATTACTTGAGCAAGACAGATTCAAATTATACTGCAAGCTGCATAAGCCAGCCATGCAACAGTTTGAAATGAGATGGTGGTGGTTTAAATGGTGAAATGTTGGTTAAGACCTGATTGATCTTTTTTTTTACGTTACAGGACTTTCTAACAACAGTGCATCCATCTCGTGAAGCAGCAGCAGCAACATCTTGCACCACGGCAACATCGCCTGAGACGCCCACAACAACATCATTAGCCACACACAAAACTGCATTGCCATCATCATCGATAACAGCAGCAGAACCTTCAACTTCGCTATTCAAACTAACAACAACAGCTAAACCTTCAGCTACAGATTTGATAGATGGTCACTCTTCGTGTTCTGTTAACGATGTTTTGTCTTTGTTAAAGCTTCTCCATCACATCTTTCTTGAAAATTCTACAGCAAATGCAATCAACGGTAATTGTTAACGTTTTTATTATTTTTTCTACTAAAATAACATTATATTCATTGGAATGTTAGCCTAATTCTCCCGACCACAACGTGCTTTATTTGTTTCTGGCTGAAATTTTTTAACAAAGCACTGCTTTATTTGAAACTACAAATAAATATTTGTCCATTGTTTAGTAAAGTTTGGATTTTATTTAATGCATTGTCTTTTGTCAACAATCACTTTGTTCTGGTTTTAATATTTTAAGAGATTTGACTGGCAGTTAATTCATCACAATTTAATTTTGATTGTTGATTTCAACGATGGTTAGTTTTTGAGTTGAACATTTTGATAGGATCGTGATGCCTTCCTGTGATAGCATGAAATAATAATCATTGTTCGAATGAATTAAATCCATTGTCTTCAATTATTCATAACCTGCATCGATATTTATTTTCCAACCAAACGTAAAAGATCTGGAAAAAGATCTTCCGACAGTATCTGAAGATGACTTTCTAAGCAAAAAAATAACCAACAAATTGATACAGCAAGTTCAAGTAATTTTTAAGAATTTATCTATTAATATTTTTCTTTTTTTTTTCGTTTTTTTTCTCTATTTTGTTAGTGCTTTGTAGTTTTCAGGATATATTTTCACATGATCGTCTGCAGGATACATTGATGCTATCCACCAATGCCATTCCTGATTGGTGTGAGGAGTTGACCACTAACTATCCAATGCTCTTCTCATTCGAAACTAGATTGATGTTTTTCAACTGTACTGCTTTTGGAACCTCCAGGTTAATAATTTTATCAAAGTATTTAACTATTTAAAAAATTTTGTGTTATACTTCAAGAATTCGATGTTTAAGTTTAAAGAATGAGTAGTAGCATCATAGGAGTGACACCGTACCACATCCAGGTCGATTGTGTGGCTGCAGAATAAGCGTGAGGCCATGCTGGAGCGCAACAGAACGGCAGGTGGTTTGAGACGAGATGACGTGCATGACTTCAAGATCGGTCGGTTGAAACACGAACGAGTCTGTGTGCCTCGTGATGAATCCCTGTTGGACTGGTCAATGCAAGTCATGAAGTACCATGCATCCAGGAAGTCAATTCTCGAGGTTATTATTATTATTTGTATTATTGTTTGTATTATTAATATTATTAATATTCTTCTTTCTTTCTTTTTATTATTATTTTTTTTATCGTCATTATTATTTTTATCTTCAGCATTTGATATAGTTTTTGGTTCTAAATTATCGCAAAACGAGCCTAAAATTGTATAAATATTTTTATTAATAATTGATTGGTTTGTTATTCATTGAATAGACGCAGCATAATTTTTATCTCTTCTGTTATGCTTAGATTGAATTTAAAGGAGAAGAAGGCACAGGATTAGGTCCATCGCTGGAGTTTTATGCGTTGGTCGCAGCTGAGCTACAGAAAAAGGACATGGGGATGTGGTTGTGCGATGATGAACTTGATGGCGAACAGGCTCATGATGACAGTGGCAAAGAAGTTAGTTTACTGCTCAATTTGATTTAGTTCTATCCTACGCTATTGCCTTGTTTATAAAGCTGTCCGTTCTTTTAATTCTGAAGTCTTTCATCTTGTTAGTTATTCTAACAACTTATCAACATACATGACTAGATTTGATATATAATAAAAATAATTCCTGCTTTTCTTATTCAATCATTTCATTGTTCTAGATTGATATAGGGAGAGGTGTTAAACCGCCTGGATATTATGTTCGACGAAGTTCTGGCTTGTTTCCAGCACCCTTACCTCAAAACTCTGATGATATGGCTCGCATTGAAAGTCTTTTCAAGTTTTTTGGAACGTTTGTCGCAAAATGCATTCAAGATAACCGACTTGTTGATATGCCTTTATCATTACCATTCTTGAAAATGTTATGCAACAAGCGAGACAATGCTGTTGAGCTTGCTGTTTACCAGCCCACATCAGAAGTGCCGTTCGCAGATGTCGAAGTTCAGGAGGAAAGTTAGTTTCTATTTCCGCTGTGCTAACTAATTTCTTATACACTTCTAATTTTGTTCCTTTCATGAACACCGGGACGGATCTGTCTCACACCTATCCGATGAAATTGTAAATGTTTCAACCATTTTTTTTATGATGAATGTTAGGGTGCCAGTCAAACGTCTTGGAGGAAACAGGTTCATCAATCCTGCAGTCGGGAAAGAAATGCGACGTGGCATCATCGAGTGGTTCAACAACCGAAGCCCAAGTTATTGAGAGATCTCAAGCTTCACTGACGTTAAATATAATCAAGTCTCCAATATTGCTCGACGATGATTTGACGCCGACTGAGAATGATAGTTTCGCAGCAACGCCATCAACCATCGCATCTAGTCTACAACAGTCGACCGTTGGTAGCTGCGTTCAGTTGCTCCCTTGGTACGTCGGCATCCTCAACAACGATGATTTCCTTCTTCTTGACAGCATCAGGTTACGAGTTTTCATCTATATATTTAGTGGTTTAATTGGTTCTAAGATTGCAGTGACTCCAAATAGATCCTTCTCTTAAATGTGCTTAAATGTTTTACAAATTGTTTTGTTCCACGCATGGGTGTGTGCGTATTCGCGCCCGTCAAATTTTGAGGCCCTGGACTTATGAGGATTGCTTAATTGTTCTATACAAAAGTTCATTGCTCAACACCTCTGGCTTTTAAATTTAATAAGTGTTGTAACTCCGATGAACAGTTTGAAAATGATTGAGGTAGTTAATAACAAGATGACAATTACATAAGATGAAAGACCAATGTAATTTTCATCTTTTTTTTACAGAGCCTCTTTTCTAAATGATCTAAGGAAGTTGTCTGAAAAGAAGCAGCAACTCATGAATGAGGGCATTTCTCATGACAAGTCGTCAACTGACTGTAAACTATTTCTTGAAAACGGTGCCAGGCTGGAAGATTTAGAGTAAGTAAATTGTAAATTTATATTTGCCATTGTTCACTATTTATTATTCGTTGTTGAAGTTCATGACGTCATCGTCGTTTTATCGTTCGAATATTTTGTAGATGGGACAAACATATGCTACATCATAAAAAAATACATATTAACCACTTTTGTTTTGAAATATTTTTTGCCAAACATTTTTTTGCCGAACCTAATTCTACTTAAAAAATGGTTGATTCGAATGCACCATTTTTTAAATGGTTTCATTCCAGAAGTCGGCAGCTGCAGTTCCTCTTGTTAGCAGTCAGTCAATATCAAAAAAGCCTGTTTATTTATAGATTCATGTTGACCTTTGTTGGTTGGTGTTGACCTTTGTTGAGAGGCAAAGAAGAGTTTCTGTGGCGCTAACTAAACTGCCTCTCATTTTAGCTTTTATTTCTCTTGTACTTTGCTACATATAAATCAATTAATAAATATCAAATTACAAAATAATTTTTAAAAAATTTCAGATTGACGTTTGTCTTCAATCCTTCATCTAAAGTTTATGGTTATTCAACGTATGAACTGAAAAAAGGTGGAGAAACAGAGGTACTGTAGTGTTGACCGTTTCCAAATTGATTGATTGATTGATTGATTGATTGATTGATTGATTGATTGATTGATTGATTGATTGATTGATTGATTGATTGATTGATTGATTGATTGATTGATTGATTGATTGATTGATTGATTGATTGATTGATTGATTGATTGATTGATTGATTGATTGATTGATTGATTGATTGATTGATTGATTGATTGATTGATTGATTGATTGATAAAATCAGAATAAATAATTTTAAATAGCAATGACAATTATATTTAGCTGGATAAAAATTTATTGAAACGGATGATATTAGCCACAAATTAATTTTACATTTCGTGGTTCGAAGCATTATTTAAATTTGAAAGTCATCAATTGAAAATTTACTGCATCGTAGCACGTGACGTTGGAGAAGGTTGACGAGTACGTCGAGTTGGTGACCGACTTTTGTCTGGTCAGTGGTATCAGGAGACAGATGGAGGCCTTCAAAGGTTTGTGAAGGCATTTAACATTTAACATTTTATTATTCCTTTAAACACATTGAGCGGTCTTGAGGTGTATTATAACACTTTTATATTTCTGTTGTTTGAGTTTCTATTGTCGATGGTGTATTTGTATTTTTTTCACGTCGATTTTGTTTATCTGTTGTTGTGATGTCTTGCTCGTGAGTTCCTTTGACAGCATCTCCTCCAAACGCCTCGTTCTTTCCCACTGAGCTTTTTTCTTGCTGTCATCATCTCATTTGTACATCCACATGTTGGAGTCATCTCACGTCTAACAACTCACTCTACATACGACCCGTTCTTTCTTTCCTTCTTTTTTCTTTCTTTCTAACTGCTTTTCTTTTTTCCTTCCTTTCTTTCTTCCTTCGTCAAGGGAATTCATGGTAGCTCCGTTTGTTTTTTCATCTTTTTCCATTCTTCTTACATTTTCAAAATGTTACAGGCTTTCTCGCGTCATGTTAACTGCTTTCCACATTCCACAATCGACAGAATGATTAGAGGCTGGACAAATTAAAAAAAAAAAAAAAAAATCTTTTTCTGCCTTTTCATCGTCCTCCCACTGAAAATTAAAAGACACTACCACCAACCAGTTCTCAATGTCCAGTCCATACTCCTGGGAGCCTCTGTATTTTTAATGCGTTACCTTATTCGCGAACCTGTGCGTGCGCGCTAATAGTATGTATAATATATTATACATACGTACTAGTTGATAGCGTCTCAAAATTTGATCCAATTTAGCTATAATTACTCCAGTTCACTCGTTTTTAAATTTGATACAGGGATCAACCAAAATCATCAAATCACGGTGACCTTCTACTTAATAATTTTCATATTGAAAAAAAAATGATTTTCTGTCTTTGCTTTAAAAATTTAAAACTGATTGCCTGCTGATTTGAAAAATTTCAGCCTCATGAGTCGAGAGGTGCTGTGTAAGTCCAGCAACACATTACAATACATGTGAATGTACATCTGTATTTATTTATCTATTTATTTATCTATTTCTCTTTTTGGTTTATTTGCTTGTTTGTTTTTTATTTATTGTAAAATGCGTGAAACGGAAATGCAAAACTCTAAGTTGAATATACTTTTTTCACTTTAATTGTTACTGTCGCCTTGAAAATTTATTTTTACCATTATGGCATTAACTTAACCTCACTGCGTATATTATTTAATTTACGTGAAGCTGGTTTTGATCTGGTTTTCCCAATGCACAAACTCTCGGTACTGAATCCTCTTGAGTTGCAAACAATTTTGTGTGGCGACCAATGTCCTAAATGGTCTCTAGAAGACATACTGAACTTCACTGAACCAAAATTAGGATACACCAAGGATAGGTGAGTGATAATTTCATTTGGCAAAACATCAATACAATTAAAAATGAATTAATTAAAAACAAATTTCAGTCCTGGCTTTCAAAGGTTCGTAAACGTGATGCTGAAAATGAATGCCGACCAGCGAAAATCATTTCTTCAGTTTGCAACTGGCTGTTCCTCCCTGCCGCCTGGTGGATTGGCGAATCTTCAGCCGAGGTTGACCATCGTTCGAAAGGTGGACTCCGATGACAATGCATTTCCTTCCGTCAATACGTGCGTACATTACTTGAAACTACCAGAATATTCTTCGGAAGACATTTTGATGGAAAGACTTCTGACTGCCATCAAAGAAAAGGGATTTTATTTGAACTAATGTAAATTGTGTTAAGTTTTTTCATTTGTTCTCTATTTTATTTTGTATTTTTAATCTTTCGTCGTTGAATAATGCAAATTAATTAGATGATGTTGATTAATTTTATTACACATGTGAGGCATTTGTGCGATATTATAAAAGAGGTAATTTAAAGGTTGCTTGGATATTTTGTGTATGGAATAATTTTAGATCATCTCTATATTTTCTGTTTTGTTCCGGAAGTCATGCCCAACCTGTCAGATGGCTGGCAGTAAAGAGAAGTTCAAAACATTTGCAAAAATATCTCGCGTTGTAATAAATAGCGGACCCAATCATGTTTTAAAGGTGAAGGAGGAGGAAGAGGAGGGGAGGAACCTGGTTTGGTGTGGCATCAGGAATTGTGAGGATAATTGATGAGGATTCTTTTTATTGTTTGTTTATCGGCACTGTATATATTTTTGTCATAGTGAAGTTTTTGCCTAATTAAACATAAATAAATTAATAAATGTTGTTTATTATTTATATTTAGAAATTTTTGTCCACTAGTTCAGTTTTTTACTGATCCATTTAATGAACGATTTCTTCTATTTGTTGTCAAATTATATGAGAAGTTGTTTTTTTATACTATGATTGCGATAATAAGTAGGAGTCATTTGAACTAATTTGTATTTTTTAATTTCATTTCATTTATTCGTGATTTTTATCTGTATGTGAGCTTGAATATAACTTTGTATTTCAAAGTAACCATACACACACACACACACACACACACACACACACACACATATATATATATATATAGTGAACTGGACAATGCTTATTTTACTCGCACACAGAATGAACTCTCCGGTTAAGAAGTTGAGAACTTCTCCATATGAAAGAGAATTATTATTTATTTCAGTTATCAATCGATTTATATACGTTTTTATACTTTTTTTTATAAAGGTATTCATTAGAATTTTCAGATGTTTAATTTGTAATTGGCTTGAGAACTTTTAAGGTTAATCATTTATTTATTGTTGAATGTGGTTGGTGTTGTAGTTGTAACCAATATCCTATCTATCTGCACGTTTTTACATAATTCAGACTAGGTGTTAATTTATGATTATTGTTTTTTTTATGTCGTAACATTACTTCTTTATTTTCATTTAGATATGGTTACGATTATTTTCTAATTTTAAGAAAATTATATAAAAATTGTCTAGAAACGTATAATCGTGACTGATTTGATTCAGAAATTAATAAATTTTAATAAAAAGAAATAATGTAATGATAACTTCGCATGATTATTTTTTTAACTGTTGCTTAAATCAACCTAATAATGATAATCATTTGCGACTGCATTGGTTGTCGTTGATATTATTTCTGCTTGACGCGTCTGTCGGCTGATGTGTTGAAACTTTTGTTTGATCATATAAATTGGGCGGACATACTCCAGTATGTGTAATTGTTTCTTTTGTCAATAGGCTAATACACATTACTCTTCAAATTTTATTTTATTGACGAAGATCTGAGAGATGTAAAAAACGATTGAGAAATGAGAAAGTAAGAAGACAAGATTTGATAATTAATTCTAAAAAAGAAGTTGATCGATAAAAGTATCGCACGTGGTGAAACGGGCGTGCACAATAAGCCTGCTAGCAATGCATAATTTTGTTGGTACATAAATCGATAAGGTAACACGTGCCAACAATATTAAGACATGAGATATGAACGATTGGTTTGTTGTTGTTGCCTATCTAGTTCGAGCGTTAATTTATATTTAAAGTAACTTACCTTCTCCCCCTGTTACTTTTGTGGAATCTTGCACTAAACGTTGAATAAATGGATTACCAAGGAAAGCACATAAAAAAGTATGATGATCCCGACAAAACAAGCCAAGCCTCGCTCAGACAAGGATCCATAACATGTATTTGTTTTGATTTTCATTCTTAAGATCTGTTGAATTTTTAAATTGCTGCTGTTGACAGTTTGGTCGATTGGCTGATGAATGTTTTGAAATTGATAAATTTTCATGGCAGGCTCACGTAGATTATTGTTTAAATATCTCATTTTTATATCCACAGCTGATTTAGACGACCTCACGGTTATAGCTGAGTTTGCTTCCTCGGACGATGAGGAACTGGCAACTATATACAAAATCTCAAACCCTTACGAAGTAGTTGGATGTTCAATCAAAAGCAATGCTACATTTACAAATGATCTAAACAGTAATTGGCTCAGCAGCGGTAATCCACGTGTTGCTTTTTGTTAATTTTTATTTTGTTTGGTTTTTATGCTATTTTTTGGTAACGCAGAGCAGCTCAACTTGTTTTTTGTTTTTCCTTCTTTCAAAATTGGTTTAAATATAACTTACGTGCTACTAATACAGTTGTCATTTGAACGATGTTTTGATTTATATTGTCTTAGTCGTAATACTTACTGTCCGGCTAACTTGTATATGGCTGTGTTGTATTCATTCAAGCAACAAATTTGATGTTTGTTGTGCTGCAGTTATTATTATTGTTTACTAATGTGAGTTTGACATTATTGATATAGAATCTGGAGATGACTTGGATGTTTTAGTTGAGAACAACACCTCAACTGGCAACTCCAAAAAAAAGTTGCACGGCAGAGAGAAACGCACGAGATTAAAATCTGCTGGCAGTCAAACTGCTACCGCTAAAAACTCAAGAGCTACGTCTCCTGTAGATGACTTTCTTACAAACGAAAAAGAAAATATGACGGGGAAGGTCAAGTTTACTCAAGGCTCGAAACAACCAACAAGCTTTTTCGTTCCGTTAAACAACGATGGTTTTGAATTTTATGAAACTAACCAACCAATCGAAAAACTGATGAATATAAAATATACGCAAATTCAATTAAAAAATAAATCTTCATCAACCAGTCCGTTCTTGAATAAAACTGACACAAAAAATGTGGGCACGATGACAGTTGGCCGTGATGATAGATCGAATCGAAAAATTCCTCTTGTCCACACATTTGTCAACACTGACAGTTTGCAGCTGAAAAACGCTTCAACATGTACAGAAAGGGACGAATCGCAACTCGAAATTATTAAACAATTGAAGGAAACATTATCAGGCGAAGTAAGTTTTTGTACTTTGTGTTTAATTTAAGTTTAACAATTAATTTTATTTTTTTATTACAATTTTTCAGAGAGGAAATTTAAAAAACAAAACGGAGCAGTACGAGAGTTTATTAGACGAATACGATATGATGAGGGAGGAAGTGGAAGAGTTAAGAAATGAAAACAAAAAATTGATGAATGATGACGTTTTACGTGACTTCAAAATAATTTCACATTCTGTTAGCTCATACAAATAAATAATTTTTTGTTATTGTCGAATCAACCTATTTTAAATCAAAATTTTCACAACTGCACCTACATGTATGCTCAAACAGGACCAAGGCTGTCAAGCGTCAGTCGCTCAGCAGTCCAAATCAACGCAAGATGACTTAACGATGGAAGCTGAGTTGAAAGATAAATTGAGCACGACAGATAATGAAATAGCTTCGATTAGAAATGAATTAGATGCTAAAGTAAGAATATAAATGTTATTATCGTAGAAATTTAACTTTAACATCACATCATTCAGTCAGAGAGCATCGACATTTTGCTGGAAGATCTGGAAATTAAAGAGAAGGAAATTGAAGAACTTAAAAACCAAACAAATTCTTTAAAAAGCGATTTAGAACGATTCAAAAATGAGGTATGTCAATGTTCAGAAAATAATAATAATAAATAATTGACATTGTTGAAAATACCATTTTCATATTTTAATAAGTCGATAATTTTTTTAATTTGAAAATCTATGAAAGTTTTTATTAATTTTTTTCAATAAATGCAGCACATTTTAGCGCATTAATATGATTATAAAACTAATATATTTCCAATACTAACTAGAAATCACGCGGCATGGCTACATTGTGTAAATCAGCTAAACATTTGCTATCTTTAGGCTATAATTTCAGGGTTAAAATGAAAATAATTTGAAAAAAATTATTAGCATAATTCTAGTTAATATTTGTTGGGCTTGGTTATTACACCGAAATTGTTTAAATGTGATTTGTGCTTTTGCGATAAAATTTTTGTGATAATTCGCTGTGCAAAGTTAATTTTTTAACAAATTATTTTAATTGCAGAACGACGAACTAAAACATTTAAGTGGTTTGCAAATAAAGAAAAACGAAACCGAAAGTAGCGTTCTTAAAAAGAACGAAAGATTGCAAAACGAATTAAATAAAGTCTCATCAGATTTACTTCAAATCCAACAAAATTTAGGCAGAGCGAATAAAGTTGTTGAAGAAAAAGTAGGTGTTAAAATATTTTTATTAACCTTAAAAACTCATGAAAGAGTTTAAATAAAATCGTCATTTTTAAGAGTTTTGAAATAGAAAAATTGAAAAATGAATTAGAAGAGTTTAGAAGAAAAGAAATAGACCTAGATAGAATAATTGAATCTCTTAAGAATCAATTGCACATGCTAAACGATAAAATATCTCAGAGAGTTTATGAAGATATGCAGCAAAACAACAAGACTGCAACTGAAGTAATTTTCCTATTTGTTACCTCTTTCATTTTTTTCATCTATACATTTATTTGTTCATCCATTCCAAGTTAAATGACAATAAATTTTCATCTTTCTTATACTCTGATCACTTAGAAAAGTATAATTAGTGAACCACAGCTTATAAATTTAACACATTTTATATTTCATTGCGTCAGAAGGAGCATGAAGAAAATTTACTAAAAGAAATAACTCGTCTTATGCAGCTAAACTCTGACCTTCATAGAATCATTTCAACGTCAAACATACACAATGAAGATTACCAAGAACTTTCCAGAAAGGTAGTTAAAATATTTGTTTGTTTTTTTCAACCTCAAATATTAAAATATTTGTTTGTTTTTTTCAACCTCAAATATTAGAATGTAGATTGCAGAGTCTTTTATAACCTTATATCCTAATTATTCTACACGCGAACCCTATATTGTAAATATTGTTTGTTATATATGACTCTCTAACGCACAGAAAACTAAGAGCAGTAGCAATGGCGCCGACCTGAAAAATTATTTATGAGAGGGGTGAGCCGAAATTATAATACAAGGAAAAGCTAAAAATTTTATTTACACTTTAATCATGATCAGATACATAAGTGTGGAGACCCTGAGACGTTTTGTCGGTTATTAATTGTTTTTTGTGCTATTAATGTCAATTTGAACAAAATTATAAATAGGAATTAGAAATATTTACTTTGAAAAGTTTAACAAAATTTTTGGGAGGCAAAAAGTGAGTCTCGACTTTGCCTTAAAGTTTGTTTGGGAAGACGGAAATTGTTCGGCGTCTCTCTTCTTAAATCAATCCCAACAGTGTCGAATCTAAACAACTTTTGACGGGGGGCCAAAATCTTTAAAATGTTTAAATTTTCACCCGCTATAAAAATCCATTTTTAATTTATTAAACCGTTTCGAACCAAGTCACGCTAAATAAACACGCGGAAACACCACCTTTTGTTATATCATGTGTGCTGTCGATAAATTTTTGATTTTAGTGTTCTTAAATTTTATCTCATAGTACAATGAATTAAGAAACATATCGAGCCGTCTGCAAACAGCCATAGCTCCGTTGAAAGCAAAATTAAGTCTCGCAAATAAAAAATGTAGAGCCAAGGTAAAATTTACGATTTCCATTTTTAAATTTTTCAAATTATTACAACGTAAAATTAATTATAAAAAATCATGCAATGCAATAAGCAGAATAACTTTTTAGAAGAAATTTTAAAATCTGATCATGGTAACAAGATTCCAACTGAATTCAGACAGCAAATAGAGAACAGTTTGAAAGATGATGAGCATTATAGAGCTCTATCTCCTCTCACCATAGATCGAATCGAAAGACTGGAGGTTTTAACTACATATTTATAGCACATCACACATTTACATTTGAAGCTTTTTAATTTTTACAGCATAACCTCATCAACCACCTTCATGATCGACTTCCTTACCATGATTCGGCAAGAGTTCAAAGTTTCAGTAATTTACTCGGTGAAACAACTACGTACAACCCTTTCAAGCCAAGCACCAGCAAATCAATGACTGATTTACATCTAATTTCGTTGCTAGATAATAATAGCAAGTTGCCGAATTCCAGCCAATATGATCGTCACACTGCCAGCAACGGTGATCACGTGTACAGAAATGATCTTCTTTATAAACGGACCCCTACGTTAATCGATACACCTTCAAAAACGAAATTGGAAAATGTTGTTGGTGATGACAGTTATTTCTTTAGCAAAGATTTTAAAAATAAACATGAAAGTACTTCTTTGAGTAACATGTCGGCAAGGCCCACATCTTTTTTAAACAACATTTCGAAAGAAAACCGACCTAAAAAAACAGACGTTTTTGATAGTTTGTAGCGCTTCAAAAATTATTTTAAAATATTCATATTATAATTTTTATACTATGTTCTAAGTTTTTTATTTCATTTTTGAAAATTTTCATTTAACATGAACCGTAAAAAAAAATGACACTTACGCCTTTTAAATCAATAACATAATTTTCATTACCTCTTTAGCGCTGGCAGGACAGCCAAGAAATTTTCAAATTGAAAAAGTTGCCAACCAGAACAGAAAATTTTATTTTTGTTGGGAACCTCCAGTGAACGATATTAAAGATTATCCAGTCATTGGATATGAGGTAGCATATTAAACATATATTTAATATTTTGTTTAATTGCTACTTAGCCAAATGTATACTGCAAATATTATTGTGTTTTTTTGAATAAGTAATTCTGTGGCTTATGAGTGAGGCAGAGAGGAGAGCGCTCAAAATTAACATCAAGAGTTCATTTCACTATATTTCAAAAACTTTATTATAACAAAATAAAAATCACGAAGAGTAATGAAATACGACCGCCATTGTTGTAGCACGATAGATTGCTCATCAAATTTAAAGCTATAACCTTTTATGCATATTAAAATGCAACATTTATTGTGTTTCATTTTCTTGTTGAAATGCTTAAAATTTTGAATTTGAACTTCACATAATGATTCATTATAGTTTTATGTGAACGGCATTAAAAAAGATTATATACCCGGTCGACGAACAACTAATTATGCTATTGATTACGTCTCGTCAAAATCTTTGCCGATAATATTTGCCTTACGATCAATAACATTGGACGGCGTAAGGTCTCGTTCCAGTGAAATCATTTTGCATGGCCTACAACATATCAGAAACGATGACAGCCTGGAAAAAATTACCACTGGAAAACATCAACTTGAAAAAAGTACATTAGATTTGACCCAATTGAAAAAACAAACGGTAAGCCGGCTTAAAGTTGAATAATAAAAGAATCACTAGCATTTAGTTCAATAAATATTTGCAGTTTATTGCATTTTATGATTTCAACGCAACTGATAACAATGTCATTCGGAATGGAATATCTTACTCAGAAATAAGCTTTGAAACGGGTGACATGTTAGAGACGTTTGGCGAAGTGTTACCAAATGGATATATTTTTGGCAGAGTAAGTAACACATTTTATTTAAAATAAAACATGATGATCTAAAATACTATGAAATGTTGCTCTGTATTACACCATTTGAATTTGCAAAAGGTACATTTATTAACTTGAAAGAATTGTATCGCAATGTGCTTCACAATTTACACAGTACTTTTCAAAGAATATTTAGATAGGGTCAATAATGACGATGAAATATGTTATGAAACTATAAAAATAAACAGTTTGAAATACCTATTAGTTGAAAACATTTATAGTATCAAATTCATAATACTCAGGACGTCATCACGTTCATATTACAAAATTATTTTTATTATTGTCCTGTTTATAAAATCGTTACTAGAACAATTTCATCTCTTTTATTTTTTAAATTATTATATAAATGCATTTGTGCGAAGCAGCAATATCACCCTTCAATTTAACATAATCTAAGTTATGAAGAGTGGAACAAGTACGTTATAGATGCGAGTGACTTCGATTCCACAAAATTGCCAGGATTTTGAATATCCAGAATAATGGTGCCAAATAGTAGATTCAATTGATAAATTACAAAATTTAGTGGATTGTCCTACAGAAAAAAGCAAAAAAAAAACACGGATTAAAGTAAATTACAATAAAACGAAGAACATAGCAGTAACACAAATCTTGGTCAAACTTTGAAACCAGGAGAAATGATATAGAAATAAATAAACACGTCGTCCGCCTGGATAATGAATGAAGCACAGAGAGAAAATCAGACAGAAATAAATAAAGACTGACTTTTGCAGAGGCCGCTTCAAAAGCCGGCACTAGAAAATGTTCAAAAGACTTTAATCTTAAGTTGATCGATACAATTCTCCGATGATTCAAATTGCAACGACAGGGTATAAAGTTCAAATAAACTTTGAAATCGGTGCTGAAGGGAATGTTGTAATGTTAATTTCAATGATATTAATAATAATGAAAAAAATTAATAGTAGATATTGATAACGTACCAATCTGGGAGCTGAAGTGCCGTTATGAAGCTTAATAATAATAATAATAACTTGCGAACCAATTGGATTAAAAAAGACAATTTTTATTAGTGAAAACGAGTGTTCATTACAAATAAGAAAGTTTATTCATGGCTTCGTCCATGCATAAGTGAGCTTTCAAATTGCGTGACCGGAATGTAACATGGTTGTAGCAGGAATGTTTCTTTCGAAGCCAAATAAGGAACAATTGTAAGCAGCTCTATGAAGAAAATGAAACATAATATTTTTTAATTGCTACTAATTCAATAATTCGAAATCAGTTGCAAATAAATTCAATTTGATTTGCAGGTCAAAGGTACCGATAACGTTGGTCTTATTCCTGCCAATTTTCTTGAAAAGACTTTCTAATATTTTGAACTTTTTTAAATTATCTAATATTTTAAATTGTAAAAATTTTAAATTGTTTTCCATTCTATTTAAAAAAAATTTAATGTTAAAATTGTCTCAATTATTCGTTATTTTTACAATTTATTGTAGAGACTAAATTTTTCTTTGGAAGACGACAAAAATTTTAATTGATGGCTAAAACAATTTAATGAAATATTAATTACTTATAATGACGCAATAAAATGACATCAAAACGTTGAAAAATTAAATTTTCTGTTACAAATTGAATGAAGACAAGGTTTCAATTAATTGAATATTATAAACTTATTGAAGTTTAAAACAAGCTTTCGGTTTTTAACAAAAACATTGTGGTACACTACATTCCTGCCATGCCTCTTTTGTTAAAATTCATTCTCATGATGACGTCATTTGGTATCTTTTACCATTTTTTTGCAATTTAAATATTTTTTTCACCCAAGAAGCAAATTTTTTATTAGTTTATCAACAAAGCAAAAAAATAGTCAATAAACCTATATGTAGAATATACATATTGTAGTAACCCTTTAACACTCGTAACTACCAAAAACTTCAATCATCTCTACAACTTCAATCATCTCTACACTAGTTTTTTAGCTTCCAACGATCGTTAAGTTATTCCGTTACTCCGTAGGTTCAAGATTTCCGACAGATGAATACCCTGCTTCAAACGCAAACTTTGTTGAACGTTTGTATGAATGCCAACAGTAGTAGAATCTAGAATCACTAAACTAATTCAAGCAATCTCTTCTCCCTACAATCTATTCAATAGTTAATAAATATGCGCTTCATCATGAACACCAACAATTTTCTTATTAATATTATTAGTTGGATAATAATTATAAAATTACTGTTAGGTGTTAGGAATATTGAAAATTTCAACCGTAAACTTTCAAAAGTTAAAAATCGGTAAATATTATCAAATATTGCATCATTTTATCAAATATTGCATCAATTATGGTCTCCTACCAGCCATTAGTGAAAAAAATCAAAATTAAATCAGTAATAAACCTGAGATCAGACAATGGTATTACGCTGGTTGTTCCTGATACTCACTTGCAGAAAGCAGGCATTGCAGTTTCAGAACCAGTTGCATGGAACAGTCTGCCGAAGTCGATGAAATTTGAAGCTTTCAAGAAGAATTTGAAAACTCATTTATTTTTTATATAATTATTATGTTACATTTTTGATATTTTGTTTGCAATGCCGTTTCACTTACACTTTGTTTTTGTTGCCAGTAGATAGCGCTTTTGAGAATCTTAACTTTAAAATTTTTCTTTAATAATAATAATTTATACGTTTACGACCATGGACATTGCGTTTTTAGATTATGTAAGACCATGGATATGTATATATATGTATATATATATATATATATATTTATAGATATATATATATCTATGATTGTAAAACATGCATATATATATCTCAATGTTTAAGAATCTGACTTAAACTCAAAGTAATTTCGGCCCTTCATATTTTTATGTCGATGCTTGTAAATTTGAAAAATCATATTTAATCTAAAGCTGATCTTTATTATATTGATGTCAGTTTTGTTGATTCGATTTTGTATTCATCTTCGTGGTTTCCGTCCTAATTTTTGTTAACGATTCTTATTTTTATAAGGAATAGAATTCTTTTATATTAGAGATTTTGGTTTTGAAACAAAATTCGAAGTTCGTTCGGAAGGTGAGTGAATTGATTGAATGAGTGATGATCTGGTATTTTCTTTTTTCTTAAGTTTCAAATAAATAATAATGGTCATATTTGTTACTTTTAATTTTGTTTGTTTTGAATTGACGATTTGGTATTGTAATTGTCAGTGTGTCGAAGTCCAAGATTTTTGCTGGAGTTGAAATCAGAATTTTTTAAGTGGCTGAAGTAGGAGTTTGATATATTTTTGATTTTTCATCTAACAAAGTTAAAAATGCTATGAATTTTAAACAAAAATTGATTATGTCTTTCAGTTTTAGAAAAAAATTGGATGTAGCAATATTAAAATTAAAATTTTTAATACTGAATATAAATTATAAGTGTTACTGTTAATAATAGGAATAAAACCACCTAATTTTTTAATTTTTTTAAAACACAAAATAAATATAAAACAATTACAATTGACAAAAAATGTCAATGTTGGAGTCAGAATACAAAAATTTGTACTTGTAGTCAGCGCAAGAGTAAAATTTTTTAGAAGCATCTATTATGACCCGAGTCAAATATTTTTCATCGGATTCCGTCACCCTAATAATTATATTCTTTACAGTTTGGAGATGGTTTTTTATTAAATAATCCCAGTGTGGTATTTTTGTGTTGTTTTCTTATTTATTTTGTTATTGATATATAAATTTATTTATTTTTTGGATTTATGACATGTAAATGTTATAAATGTTATTTTAATTGTTGCTGTTTTTTTATTTACATACATACACCTTTGTTAGTTCACTTATGAACACAACTGGCAGCATTCCTTCCAAAATTTATTTATTCAATATTTTGTCCTGTTTAATTAATATATAATATGTTATAATACTTTCTTTTTCAGAAATTTGTCTTAAAGCTATGGATATAGAAAATAAGGGTTAGTTTTATTTAATTATATTTTGATTAAAATTAAGTCTTTATTGTTGATTTACCTAATTTTAAAATCTAATTTAATTTTAAAAAATTTAAAAATATGAAGTTATAAAAGCCTTGTAAATAATAGCCTAAAGAAATTGTATTATTCCTTTGAAGATTCAGTGAATACTTAGATGTTACATGCAACTTTTTTTACATTTTGTTTGTAAAATGCTAGTTTTATTGTTATTTTAATTAGTAAATAATCTTTAATATTTTATTTTTGCCTCTTTAGTCTCTAAGAAATCAAAAAACAAGAAAAAACATTCAGCGACAGAATCAGAAGATGGTATTGAAAAAAAGGATAAAGAGAGTTCTGATGAATTTGTAAAATTAAAAAAATCCCATAAAAATAAAAAGAAGCACAAAAAATCTCATAAAAAGAAAAAGCATAAGAGTAAGAATTGTTCATCATCCGAATGTAGTGATATGGAAAAAGAAACCGTAGAACAAAAAGAGCATATTAAAGGTCTGAATTCTGACTCTAAGATGAAGAATGAAGATTCATCAAATGTAACTGATGAGCCTGTAAAAAAAAAAGCAAAATTGGTTGATGACAATTTTGCTGATGTTCAAAAGCTGGATAAAAAAAATGATAAAAATGGTTTCAAATTGGATTCAAAAGAAAAAGATAAAGACAGAAAACAGTTTTATCGTTCCACCAAAAAGAAGGATTCTGATGTTGAATCAAAAGAAGGATCAATTGAATTTATCAAAGAAGAAGTAAAAGATGATGTTGTTACATTGTCAGATTCAGAGACGATACTGGATGTAAGTGATGAAATTCTCATGAAGAGGCTTAACAAAGCTCGCCAAAGAATGAATGACGAACTCTCAAACAAATCATCAAAACAACATGTGTCTACATTGTTTACTGAAACTGAAAATGTTCTGAATAAAAATTGTGGAATTAACGTTTTAGTAAAAAATGTTGAAGACACAGTTTCTAAATCAAATTGCAAACAAGAAAGTGCTGCTGATAATAATATGGACTTAAATTCTATATGCCTACCTGATGAACAAAGTAGAAACCATGCACTAACCGACGACAAAATTATTTCAGAAGGAAATACTCTTGGAACATCATTTACACCACAAGAACCTCAACTTACAGCTGTTACAACTGTTCCATTACAGATTCAGATGGCAGTAACTTCACTATTGCAAACTCAACCAACATTTTCAACGGTTGCTGTACTATCAGAACAGACTGAATCTTTGCCATCAACAGTATCAATAAAACAAGCAGAATCTATAAATAACACTGCCTCTGAGCTTAAACCTGCTACTTCATCACTTCCTGCAAGTTTGCCTATAAAGAGGACTAATTTTTTCAATATCAAAATATCAGAGACCAGTGCAGCCATTATTTCTTCTGGAGTGAAGCTTGGTGGAGAAGAAAAATCAAGCAATGATACTAAAGGTATTTTCTGAATTTTTTTGAATTATTTGTTAGTGCTAAGTATCAGTAAAACATCTTTAAATATATCATATTTTGATATATTTTGTTTTACTGATAGTAAACATAGGAGGATATGAAATTTTTAAACCGATTAGATACATGTGAGCATAATCTCAAAACAATAATCAAATAAAAACAAATATTTTTATAAAAATTATATAAAAATGCATAAACAAAACAATTTAAATACCTGCCTGAACATATCACACACACCGTCATAAAACCCCTTCCAGACATCATTGTTGCTGGAATTTTCCCCAAACTTTCTGTTTTCAAATTCATTTTATGATTTATTAACACACTCTCTATTACCTGCTTAATTTAATTCCACTTGTTCTATCTCAATGAATTCTCTGTGTATTTTGTTTATTTTCTGATTATTATATTGAGCATTTTTCTGATTATTTTTTAGTTTTTTTTTCAATAAAATAATTTTATTTTACAGATTGTGATGACAAGACTAAAGATTTGAAGTGAGTGTCTTTTTCATTTTTATTTCGTTTATTCAGATGGTGGAATTTTTAATTTATAATGTGACTTTTTTCATTTTGAAACCTTAGAAGCAAAGATGGTCGATCAAGATCACCAAGCAGGGGTAAGCCTGGTTCATCCAGTAGTGCTCAAAAAAGAAGCAAATCTCGGTCGAGATCAAGTGATTCTAAGTCAGGAAATAAGTCCAGAAACAGATCACGATCCAAAAATAGATCCAGAAACAGATCGCGCTCCAAAAATAGATCCAGAAACAGATCGCACTCCAAAAATAGATCCAGAAACAGATCGCGCTCCAAAAATAGATCCAGAAACAGATCGCGCTCCAAAAATAGATCAAGAAACAGATCGCGTTCCAAAAATAGATCCAGAAACAGATCATGTTCGAAGAATAGATCCAAAAACAGATCACGTTCAAGGAATAGATCCAAAAACAGATCACGTTCAAGGAATAGATCCAAAAACAGATCACGTTCAAGAAACAGATCCAGGAATTTGTCACCTTCTAGAAATATATCCAGACATAGGTCACCTTTGAGAAAAAGATCCAGAAATAGGTCACGTTCAAGAAATGGATCTAGATCAAGAACGTCAAGACATGCATCCGCGTCAAGTCGCAGATCACCCATTGGTAGTGGAAGATGTGCTGATGGTAAAAGAAAAACTAAGAGTCCATCTCTAGACAAGTGAGTGAATCATTAATTCTATGATATTCTAGAAATAATGCATCGGTCAAGATCAGTTTTTCATTTTAGTTTATTTCCAGCTTTTTTTCCGGCTTGATTTAAAATTTGTGCAAAGATTTCAAGAGAAATTACTGCCACTGCCATTGAAAATTTTCATTTTAGAGGAAATTATGAATGTTTTTATCATCAAAATCTTGAAGAGACTAAAAAGATTTTGTTTGAAAAGATTTACGAACCATGCAAAATCTCAATTTGTTATGCATATTCTGATATTGAACTTTTTAAAATCAGTCTTCATTAAAACTGAACATTAACTATTAAAATTAACAATTGCTTTTATTAGTTCTTATTATAAATATTTTCTACATTTTTTTCAGAAATACAAACGCGGAAGATCCGAAGTTCACAATTGACAAAGCAAGACTCAGACAGATAGCTCTGTATGTTCATTTTCATTTAGTCAACGATAATTTTTAAAATTATTTTTGTGGCTTTTATTTAATACATTAGCACTCTAATTTGAAGAAAGAATTTTTTTAATTTCTAGCATAAACCTGCAACGCAGAGTAAGGTTAGAGTTAAGTACTGAGCTTCATCACACCAACTAAGCTTGAAATTGAATTCTGAGATTTATTTATATATTTATTCATGAAAGCTTTCAAACTAGGGTGGTAATTACTATATCATCATCAGTATTTTCTAACAGTCAGCCTCTTTTTATTGTGCTGGCTTTTTTAAGAAGAAACTTTTCCTTTGGCAGAATTTTATTTATAATTAAATTTTGGGATTTTTTCGCTACACTGTACTTATCTGCTGCATTAATTATTCTCTCTGCTGTTTAACCTGCCTTTCATAACCAAACTTGATTTTCTGTCCTGTTCATTTATAATCAATAACTATCAAAGAAGGTCATAATTAGTCACTTATAATTATTAGTTTCTAACGAAGCCCATTAAATGATAACTTATAATTAGCAATTATTAAACAAGTCAAGTAATCTTGTCCATATCATGGGCATTTACCAACTGCTTAGATTAGATGATATTTTTGAATGAAAATTTTTTATTTATTTTTTTTTCACTGCAGTAAGAATGCTTTCAAAAATGCTGCAGCAGGGCTTGGTGCAGCCGTTAAAATGAAACCAGATGAACTCAAAGTGATTAAAGCTGGTGGAAAGTCTGTGCAAGAACTCACAGGTTGTTATTCTTAAAGATTCTCATTTGTTGATTGCAACATATTTCATTTTTATTGTGGGACTCAAACAGATAATAATTATTTACATCTTGTTCCTCCATTACTTGAGTCAATATAATACTAACTCTGCCTCAAACCTTACACATTTAACTCAGATCTTTTGAAAACTAAGGCTTTTTAGATTTGTTTAAATTTTATTTCATAATGTCCATTTTTATGTAAAAACATACATTTTATTATATATTTAAAAGTATTCAAAAATATGAAAGAGAAGTGTTTCTCAACTAGCAGTTAATAATGCACTTTTTTAGATCGGTTTTGAGCAACAAACAAACAAACAAATATATAACAGTTATCTTTCATGCATATTATTTCATCATATATCTTTGCTATGGAGTTTTCTTGAATTTCATATGTTGAATTGTTTCAATATTTTCATAATTTTTAGACTTTTGCAAGAAAATATCCGAGATACATGTTGAAAACCTCGAAGAAATATTAGAAAACACAAACAAGTTGATAGACGAGGAGGAAATGCCTTTCATTCCTGCAAGAACCAACAAAGATATGAAGGTACACTTTTCAGGTTTTTCTAAATTTGTTGCTTTTACAATTCAACAAAGAAACTTTTTGATTTCGACAGAGCGGCCCTCCAAGAGAAATGTTGACATTGCAGGAGAAGTTGATACAAACAGCACAGATGAGTTCTTTATTTCCTGTTTCAAGTGGAACTCAGCACAAGGAGGTACCATTGGAAGGTGGCACAACCAATAATCCGGTCCCAGATGTTGTCGTACAACCTGTCCAGGCTAATGCAAGCCAAGATGTAGGTGTTGAAAATGCGTACTAACTAATTTTGTCAGTAATCTCACTGGACCGCCATCTCTATAGACAATCACATACTGTGTATACTAACTTCGTAAATTAAATCGAATATTTAATTTTCAACATAATTTCATATTTCCAATTGCGTTTTTACAGGCATTGTTGGACTCGTTAATCTCTGAAAACTTGGCCGCCATCAGAAATGAAATGAACATTGATTCGTTAGATGAATTGCCCAGAGCCTCCTTTGCTAGTAAAGATGAAAATGAAAAAGTAGCATTTTATTGCGTATTTTCATTTTGTAACTTTGAAATTGTGTAAAAATTGTGCACACCTTCTTCTTTTAAATATATAAATTGCATATAAATATATGAATCACATAATAATAATTTGATGTTCTTATAATCAGACACCAAGCACTTTAACGATGATGTCACAATGGGTTCCTGGCAAAGAGATACCTGGTCAGTTCACTGGATCAACAGGTGTGCAAGTCCTTTCTCAACAGGAGCTGTCTGGAAATTACCAAACATGGGCTAAGAAGGTTATTTGTTTAATGCAGAACTTTCTTGTTGTTTCATCTTTTCTCATTGTTATTCGGTTGGAAAAAATATTTTCAGTTGTAACAAAGCATCCACAGTGTGAGCATGATCCCACCACTACAAAAGGCTTTTCTTAGTGCTTGATAGTTTTTTTTACTTGAATAGAAAAAGCAGATAATATCTATTAAACAACCACATTATATTTATAGAAATTTATTAATAAAAATTCATTTGAACATGTATGAACACCACATCCATCACACGACGTTAAACATAACTAACGAACAAACACATAGTAGCATAATCAAACATGCAAACAATGAGACTGCTTTAGATGTAAACATTTTTTTGCTAATAGCAGGCTCATATGATCTGTGTAATGCTTTTATAATTGAAAATGAACCTTTTTCATTTTTGATTATAAAAATGAGTTCACATGAAAGTGTAATGATAAATATTACATTCTGAAACGGTAATGTTTATCATATTTGCACAATATAAATGTGAACTCTCACAACATAGAACATATTGATAGCCTGTCATTAGCAGATGTGTAACAAAAAGAGTCGTGTAACTACTGCCACTTCTTTCAACAAACGTGTGTGTTTAAATTGTATGTTCTTGTCTAACCAGGCCATATTCATTTGTAAGTTTTCTGGATGAATCATTTGTTTGTATGCATGCTTATTCGTATCAAACATTTAATTGTCTATATTGGCCGTAATGAATTGTTTTGTGTGATGATAGAAAATATGAACATTTCAATTTGCTTTTAATATTCATGAAATGAACATGTTATTGTTAGAATATTATATCTCATTTTAATGCTGTAAGACTTAAAATTCACTGAATAAATTTTTTTTGTGAAGGATTCGCTAAGTGGAGCAGCTCCAGTTACTGGTGGCATTGGTAAATTGCTATTGCAGAAGATGGGTTGGAAAGATGGAGATGGTTTGGGAAAGAATAATGAAGGAATGAAAGTTCCTATCGCCATCGACGTGAAAACTGATAGGAAAGGTATTATTTAATGGTTTTTTCTAATAACAATAATAATAATAGAATTTGATACATTTTTTAAAAGGTTTGGTAACCCCAGAAGAAGATCCAGATCGAATTAAGAAGCTGGCTCTGGAGAGAGCAATGATGCAACAAGCCATGTTAAGACAAGCAATGATGCTAAAACAACAGCAGCAACAGCAGATAATGAGAATGCAACAAATGATATTGAGACATCAAGCGGGCAATGCAGTGTTAACAGGATCGAGACCTCTTCTTCAAATGCCCATACTACCAAACAACGTTCCTCTTTTAAGGATGCCACCTGGGCCCGCTAAGCAACCTTTACTGCCCATGCCTGGAGCCATTAGTGCTGGCATACCTGATATAAGCAGTTAGTTTATCTTTTTTAAGTTCTACGATGTTTAAATACTGATGTAATGTATAAATTGCTCATTACAGTGAATTAATTATTAACAAAAACATTAAAACCGAATTAGTAAGATTCAACATTTTATACACTTTCAATATAGAATGTGCGACATCATTACAGGCAAACATCCGGTTACCTATCTCACCGAAACATGCTCCAAACGAAAATGGAACCCTCCAGACTTCGCTCTCCTCGAAGAGTCAGGACCCGACCACAATAAATTGTACAAATTCAAGGTTATAAACAAATATTTTACTTTACATATATAACTTTTCAGTACATCTGTAAAATTATTTACCACACTTTAATTTTTACACTCACTAGATAACTCTGAATGGGGTAGAATATCTGTCACCAAACAGCTCACAACAGAAGAAAATAGCAAAAATGGAAGCAGCCACGCTCTGCTTGCAAAAATTAGGATTAATTCCTTGATTGTAAATAACTTTTGTTGTATAATGCACGTAGGCAAATGAATGTATGTGCTTTATTATAAATAACATTTGAAAACTATTGTACGTGATTTATAAATTGTTAATATAATTTGTATTGTTGCGTAATGTGTTTATTATGATAATGGATAATGGTAACATTTAATCATTCTCTTTTACAGTTGATTTTTTTGAACATTTCACCCTAATTATCCGAAATTTTTCAAGAAACAATTCTGGAAAATTAATGTGAAAAAATTTGAGTCCGTTACAAGTTATTACGTTTAACTTGTCGGATGATGTCCCCGTTTTTTGGATTTATAGTAGGATTCCCACTCACTGTGGTTTAAAGCTGTAAAGTCATCCAATGGAGCTATGTATTTTAAATATTTTGATAACTTTTTCAATTCTTTGTCTGTACTTCTGTTCGTGTGAGCGTTTTTAAATGGACGAATCTGAAAAATAAATGATGAACGTCTCCGTAAATTCAGTAACAACACGAATGATGAAATTTTGCGGTAAATGTTAATGAAATGGATTGGTTGTGTGCACGTTAGAAAATCACTGGCGTCCATCCAACCCTTAATACTTCTAAAATCTGGAATTGGACTGCGAACTCTTTTTGATAAGACCTTGGTTATTTATTTTAATATGCTAAAATTTGCATTATTATTTTTGTTTGTCTTAAATTATCTTTTTGTTTAAATAAATAATATCTTTTTGAATGTTGGAAAAAACAAAAATTAAAAAAATTCAGATTCAACAAATTTGTTTTTTGTCTATTTCAATTGACTTAACCCTTTCCATCACACATTTTCTTTTAAATTAACTTGCATTATATTATATTATTCGTTTCCTGCCATCACAATACGAAGTTTGCTTGGTTGCGTTATTTGTACTTGTTTGCATTGAAACCCCTTTCACCTAGTTTAGTGACGTTGATGAAACTGTAGGGCGGCGTATTACAACGAGTGAAGTGACAACGACATTTTATGGACTAAAAATGCTCAACTCCCTGTCTTTCCATGTACAATATTTTAAATGACCCAATAATACATGAGAAGCCTAAAATTAATTAGTTGGGTTTTCAACAGAGTAGAAAGGCGTCAAGACGTTTAAAAGCGCATTAGTCTTGTTTTCCTTCAAACTTTTTCGAAATTCTTTGTGCACATTCTTTAAGCGGAAACCAATGTCTCTTACTTCTTACTGGTTAACCCAAACTTTGTTCGTCAGCGTCTCAGCCGTGCCTCCATACAGCTCTTATGTTAATATAAAGCGAATGATAATAGCATTTGTTTTTATTCGCACGCCACCAATGAATTGCATAGGAATTTAAATAAATCACCTGACTTGTGCCACGATATTTTATATTTCAGTTCTTGCCAATCACTTGTATCTAATCTACCAGGATAACTATGCAACAATTGTAATGCATAAATGACGTCATTGCCGCTCTTGCTTGTTTATAAAATTGAAAAAATAACCCTCTAATCTCAAAATCTTTGGTATAATTTTTGACTCGTCTCTAACAGCTCTCATGTTTCAACTATAATAAAAACTTGCAATTACTACATCCGTCACATTTTTATTTACTTTCAGTAGACGTCCTGTCTGCTTTGACTAGTTGTGTTGTCCTTTCACGTCTCGACTACTATAATTCTCTTCTATCTAGTTTACTTTCTTACTTTTTAGCTGAACAGACTCGCGAAGGTCGTCCTAAATGTAAATATTCTTTCTCCTAGTGAACTTTCACTTACTTAACTACATTGTCCACTAATTCGCCAACGCATTATATATAAACCAGCTCTACTCACCTTAAAATATTACATGCAACGCAACCTTCTTATCTTCATCAACTCATACATCCTCGTTCATCTACTCGTCATCTTTGTTCGTCATCATCTGTATCAACCTGTTAACAAAGCATCAATAGTCAACAGAAGCTTCACTTTACTTCTTACATATGGAATGGTTTGCCAGCAAACATTCGTTAGGAACCAAAAACCACACTCCTCAAGAAGCAACTTAAACATTTTTTATTTGAACAGGCGTCAGCGACGTTACAATCAGCGGAACATCCAAGCGTTCTTGAAGCTATTCATAAGACACTAAACTAATAATAATAACGAAATACCATGCTGGTAACCGACTATAAGTTATAGTTAAGTTTAGTTAGATAATTGACAAATAGCTATAAATTACTTTCAAGCCATTTTGTGGATTCATTATGAAGTTTCTACGTAAATCATCGAACATGATTGTGTTGTGCTTGTTCCATTGAGGAAACTTGCCCCAAATAACACCCAATGGTTTAACCTATGAGTTAGTTTAGAATGACCATTAATTAGCGATTAGTGTTTAAACAACATCAACTTACATCAATAACTCCATACGATGACACGTGAACTGTTATCATGGCCAAACTGTCCAACATAAAGCACAATTTGTAGTTTGGGTTTTTAGAAACGCCCAGTTCATTCATCTTTGCTTCTATCCATTTCATACTTGTGGCAGCTTGAAGTTCAAAATCATTATCAGAATATATATAGTCAGTTAACTGAAATTAAAAAACTAATTAATTACTAACACCAAATGACAATATCATAATCAGCATAAGACGAAGTTAAAAACTCATGAAGGTATGGTCGCATCAGATCTGATCCTGTTTCGCCAACTGATCTGTGGTCTTGAATATTTTGGTTAATTTTAATCATTTTATTTTACGCTGTTGAGCAACAGTGGATTATCACTACAGAATAAATATTGGAAATGAAATGAAGCCTTTGACCAGAACGTTCACCTTGAAGCGTTCGTGTCATCACTTATATACATACTTTACTCTGACCAATCTATCGATCTTCCTGTATCAATTATAAAGGATGTGTAATATAATTGCCGCTTCCACTTCCAGTAGAGTTCATAATGGCAAGAATGCAATAAAGGAAGACCACTAAAAAAGCACGATTATTTGTTACTTACCGAATAAAGTGTAGTCTATGTCCAGTACAAGCAGTTTTTTATTTGGCCTTGGATTGTTCAATATATTAATCTGGTAAGTGTTTATTCTTTTTTCGATTTTGCTCAAGTATTCTGCCCTGTGTGTGAATACAATTTATCAATTTTAGGTAAGTAGTGTTATTTCATAAAATATTCAATAATAACATGAAATAAAGTTTTCGAACCACGTTATAACAACAATGTTATTTTATTCATTTTATATAGCGCCATGGCAAGCGACTGAGGCGCATTATCATTATTACAACAAACACAATAAATGCACCGTGAATCAACGCATAACACCCTTTTTGCATGTGATAGGCGGGGATCTTTTTTTGGCATTCGAACCCGGACACTGCATCAACAATGCCAGGCACCTTAGCCATTACACCATCGCGCCGCCAAATTATTACACCATTATGCAGCGATTAATTCACGTTAAGCAAGATGGGTGGGATTAGTTTCAAAAATATCATACAGCACACGAATATAAACATTTGATAAGCGAAACAAGTGAAGATGACATCGTGAACAAAAATTTAAATGAAATGATTGATTCATTAGTTTTACAAACAAAATATAGGGAACACAACTAAAAATTATTGCAAAATTTATATTAGGAATTTGCATCATAAGATTTCATACTGGGTTTGTAAATTCTTGTTTACTATCAATGTAGTCTTATTTGAATTTCTTGAACAAAAGTACAGACAAACACGATTCAATGTTTCTTTTATCACTATATAAAAGTGAATTATTGACTTAAATTAGGAAGTCTTCTTCCAAGACAGCGAAATGGAATTTGTTTTAACAATCTTTGAATAAAGCTGACACGCATTTTATTTTTTCAAAACATAATTTTGCTTTAAATTTTCGTATAAGAATAAGATTGTAGTGATAGCTTAACAAGTAATTAGAGACCCATTTCACTCAATGATGAATTGCTTTCGTTTTTATCTAATTACAAGCTCATTACTCCTGGTCAACATGGTTTTCTGGCATAAAAATCGACATAAAGCAGACAATTTATTTTGATTTTTCAAGGCTTATTTCTATATAATTCATTCTTTAGTATTTCTCAAAAGTATAATTTACAAACACAGAGCACATGTAAATATTGTCGGATTGAAAATCCTAACGACTAAAACTAACAATCTTTAATAATAAAAAAAACCACAAACTAACGAAGTGATTCTTAGGAGCTATATAAAGAGAAAAACTGCGATACTATTCCGATAGGTATTCGGGCTGCTGATGAGTTCCCGGTAGGAACGAAACACGTGCCCAGCCTATTCACACGAGTTATAAGAGGTGCAGAGTGTTGGACTGATCATCGTTTTGCCGTATCCAAATTTGCAATTAAACTTACCCCACCAACTCGTATACAGGGTCCAGGAAAAAAGCTGAACATTAGGGCTCGCCAAAATCTGATTGTGCAGGAAAAACTTCAGAAAGAATTCTCCAAACATACACAACAAACTGAACTGTCTAGTGTATTTTAGCAACCTACTGGTGTACCTTCAGTGACCGATGAATGGTCATTAATCAGCTCCAGCATACTGTCAACAGCTACGAATGTTCTTGGGTTTTTTTTCACAAAAAGCATCAGGATAGGTTTGATGAGAATCGACCTGGCGTTCTTGATCGTTTGCAAACAAAGAATACAGCCAAGCCCATAAAAAATAGGCTCAGCAATCCGGACTTACCTAGTCATAATCTTGCATGGAAAGAATCACGTACAAAGGTTCGGCTAGTGCTGCGCTGCATGGGAAACAATTGGTGGACAGAGAAAGCTAGGGAACTACAGAGATTAGCGGATACAAAAAATACGCAAAGGTTTTACGACTCTCTCAAGTTTGTCTACGGACCGGCCTAGCACTCTGTACGTCCAATTAAGTCAAAAAATGGTCTTGTAGTGATCAGACACCTAGAGGGAATCGTGTCACGCTGGGCCGAGCACTTTGGTGATTTGTTGAACTGCGTCAACCCGGTGGACCCAACATTTATAGAAGCCCTTCCGAAACTCCTGGCTGTTGCTAAGCTTGATAGCCCTTCTGTACTCGATGAGGTTACGTCAGCCGCCAAGGAAATGAAAAATAACAAAACGGCAGGACCAGACGGCATTCCCGCAGAGATATACAAATATGGTGGTCTCTGTCTATGTCAGCGACTGCATAATTTAATTTTTTGAGTGTGGACCACTGGCATAGTACCACAGCAATGGAAGGATGCAAACATCGTGACCATCTACAAAAAGAAGGGCGATAGACAATCGTGTGGTAACAGTCGTGGCATATCCTCGCTCTCCCCCGCTAGCAAGATTTTGGCACATGTCATGTTGAAACGATTTCAAAAACACATTGTTAATGTTGTCATTCCATAAACGCAATGTGGCTTCCGAAGCGGTCGTCGCACCACCGATATGATTTTTGCTGTACGTCCCTTGATGGAAAAGTGCTGTGAACTGAACCAGGATCTTTTCCTGGCCTTCATCGATCTGACGAAAGCTTTCGACTCGGTCAACAGAGACTTGTTTTGGATGATCCTGAGTAGATTTGGCTGCACGCCAACATTTCTGACGGTACTGCGTGAATTTCATACAAAGACATTGTTGGTGTGTTGGTGGTAAGGAATCTAAACCGTTTGATGTTTTGGTGAGTGAAAACCGGGCTGCGTTCTGGCCCCTGTGATTTTTAATCTGTTTCTCACTGCCGCCGTTCTCATCTATCGCGATGGTTTTCCGTCTGACGCAGGCATTTGACGGCAGCCTCTTTAACATACAACGACTCAAGGCGGAAAGCAAAGTATCACACGATAGGATTTTCGAATTCCAATAAGCTGGTGACGCTGCCATTCCTGCCAACACCATCTCCTTTCTCCAAAATAGTCTTAATGTCTTGTCGTATGCCTATAATCGTACAGGACTTGTCGTCAACACTACATAAACCGAGGTACTCTTCCTCACTAGAAAACAAACCAGTTACACCTTTCGTGGTTCACGGAGATGCTCTCAATGATTCGCAGGAATTCATGTATTTTGGTAGTATGCTGTCTGGATCGTGAAATTGAGCATCGCACTAGGGTGGCGTCGGTTACATTTGGCAGACTGAGGAGTCGCGTTTTTTTAAATCACAATCTTACCGTGGTGACAAAGATTGCTGTGTACCAAGCTGTTTGCATTTCTGCACTGCTTTACGGTTTTGAATCCTGGAATCGTCGACACATCAAAGCCCTTGAAGCCTTCCATGTTTGCTGTCTTCGCAGCATTCTAGGAATAAGATGGTGGCACAAAATACCCGTCACGGACATGTTTAAGACTGCATGTACTACACAGGCTGAATATCTATTGTTTTTTTGCAACAACAGCTGCGCTGGATAGGTCATGATATTCGTATGGCGGAGTTTCTTTTACTGTTATACAGCGAACTATCAAATGACTGTCGTTTAGTCGGTCGGCCAAAGTAGCGATTCGTATATCAAGTGAAAAGCGTACTTCAGAAATGTAACATCAACTCGGCTGGACTTGAAAAAATAGCGAAAGATCGGTCTACATGGAAGAAGATTTGTAAAGCTGGTCCCACAAGTTTTATGCTGGAATGGACAAATGCCTCTTACAGGCGTCGACTTGTACGTCATGCAGCAACATCAAGAGAATTGAAACCAACTGATCCTCGATGCCCCCATTGTGGTAAACTGTGCGCATCAGATTTTGGATTAAGAAGTCATCTACGATCTAACAGAAGGCCGAATGTCCTCGCCGTTTCGGTGGACAAACACAACAAACACATTAGCGCAATCGCAACAATATGCATCAAACACAATGAACTATGTATTAGATATGCGATGATCTCTTACCATTCCAACCCAGGAATCTAACCTTTTCGCACTTATTTATTCCGATTTGTGAGTACTGCTTTTCTAATTGAAATCCTCACATCAAATACTTTGTGAAAGATATTGAAAGCGTTCAAAAGAAATTTACTAAGCTTATTCCATTCACACAAAATTAATCATATCTAATACCACTAAATTCATTATATCTTAACACTCTAGAACACCAATGATTTATAATAGATTTATGCATATGCTACAACATCCTATACGGTTGCGTAAGAACTGATTTCCACAACCAAGTGACCATCAAATTGCACGTGCAGATACCACATAAAGCTACAAATATTTCATTACCAACAGGATTCACAATGTTCTGAATTTCTCGTGAGTGTTGTCATCGCCCATCAAGCTGAGCAGATGATAGGTGTGTTGCGTCATCGCCCAATGTTTAAGAAAAAGATTTTTGGCGTTAATCTTAGAAACTTTTTGTGCATTAAATAGCCTAAAAGACTTCATTGTTATTTTATTATTAATCATAGCCAAACACAATCTGTTTTTACTTTTAAGTATGAAGGCACCGTGAAAATGCAATGCATTAGGTTAGTTATCTTTTAGTTATCAATGTATGTATGTTTTAATGCGTGTATTTCTGCATGTGTGTTCGTGTGTGTGCAATTGTGCATGCATGTTTCTATAATCTAATAATATCTGTACAAATCAGTTTTTTTTGCCTAAAGTTTCGGACGAATAAGCGACTAAAGTTCCACGTCAGTGCCATCCATAAAATAATAAAACCAATTATTTTACGTACAAGATGTAAACATAATTTTAGAGCGTTTTATTAAAACCAGCTGAATTGAGATCTCTGCTTATGACACTCAATTTCAAAGTTTCAATAAAAATTAGAATACTGAATCTAAAAAATAAAAATAATAAAGTTAATTAAATAAAATAAATAATAAAATAATAAAGCTAGAAAAATTAGATAGCCAGCCAACAAGAATAAACAGTAGAGTATTGTAAACGGAAAGAAAAAGAAAATAAAAGAAAAGATGGAAATATAAAACAAGTGCCATGCATATTTAATGATGCAGGGAAAGCCCAGAACATCTGCCTAAGTTAAAACGCTTTACAGAGTGAATTATATAATCAAGACATAAGACCAATATATTATCACATGGCATTTCCAACAAAGGTAGAAGGGTATAACTTGAAAAATTAAAAGGATAATAGAAGCAAAACAAAATTAATATGGAAGTACAAGGTGTACAATTATTAATTAAAACATTTAATATTTTGAATGATTATAGAAAACATGGTTGATGATTTACATGAGAAACATTGACAAGTGACATAAAACTTGTACAGACTTATTTTGTATTTCAACAACTTCTTCTTCAATGTCAAGATCATTCACAACTTCAGGATATTCAACTACACCTTCCGTAACTTTTGCAATCTCCTCCTCTTGGGTACCCATCATCATTATTTTCAAATTATCTTTCAATTGTAGGTCTTTTAAACAAACCTCATCACCGGGAATTTTACCTGCATGAATATAATTGAAAATAACATTAAGAACTTGCACTGACACAAAAAAGTTACAGACATAAAACATTTTATTCAAATAAACTTTTATAACAAACTATTACTGTGATTTTAAAATCATCTTTTAAATTTTAAACTATACAGTGAATCAAAATCAACCTTCACCTAATCTTGAAAAACTGATATACATTTTTTCTAAAAATTTATGATTTATTTAATTATAATACCTTTGAATTTTAAGCCCATAAGTTTTTGTCGTTCAGGGAGAACATTTGTTTCTTTGTAAATACTATTTTTCAAATCAAGAATGTTCGAGGAAGGCATTAAATTTATTTTATAATCACAGCCATTCCATTTAACAATAATGTTTAATGCTACCTCTACTCCTTCGGCCATTTTTCTGTTTAAACAAATTTATAAAATAATGTTGTAACTAAAAAAAATTGATAAAAGCTGGAATTATCATACCAATAAAGTTCAATACAACATGTTCAATTTATTTTATAATGTTAAATTAAAACTTGGATAGTACTATTAGTATTATTATTATTAATGTGTTTGTAAGCAAACTTTAAAAAGATCTCAGATCTCTAACAATTATACAATTATAGAAGTACATTGCATAGCCCTTTATAAGGTAATGCAACAAATAGAAAAACATTAGCATGGTAAATTTGGACAAAAATGTGGTGTTTCAACCTTTTACAAAATAGAATAACAGGCAACACAGGATCACGAAAATCCTTAGGCAAACCATTCCAGACAGCAGGGCCTATTATGAAAAAATACATTAGTAGCCAAAACTGTAGACCCACCACACATTTTGAGTTTTTTCTGCCTTCCCTTATCTTAAAGTATTAAGATATTAACAAACGGAAGGTATAAATGTTATTGGACACCAAAAAAAAACTTATTTGTGATCGGTTAAGTTTTATGAATTTTTTCATAACAGGCCAGAATTTTACAAAATTGGCTGAGTGAGTCATGAATATTATTTATTTCTATTTTCCAATATCCACACAGCTTATTAACTAATTGTCATGATGAAATCATTTTATTTATTATTTTTATCTGTGTTGCAATCCAATTATGAAAAATATAGCTTAATAAACGAGATTACATTAATTAATTATTAAAATATTAAAACTTAAAGAAATTAAAAACTGATTAAAATATTATATTATATATTATATATATATTATATATAATTTAATTTCTGGTTCAATTTTTATTGTTAGTGTCTGACCACAATATATAATATATATTGTATATAATATATATTGTATATAATATATGTTATATATATATATATTATATATGTTTATGTTGGTCGTAGTAGACTTCTATTTATATTTTATAATTAATAATAATTAATAATAATTAATTTTTAATCATTAATATGCTCTTTTTGGTATTTTAGTTTTTTTTTCCAAAGATTGAAATTGTCTTTCCTAAAATTTGTAAATATTATTCTAGTGAAAAATTATTAATAATATGAATGCAAAAACCCTCTTTTTTTATGATGCATTTAAAACGCGGGACTAACCGTTAGCCGTTATATTGCCTAAGCGATTAGCAGGAATCGATAAGTTGAAAAAAAAACAAATTTATTTATAATTATGTCCACTTTTAAAAACCAAAACGTTATATTTTTAAAAACTATGTAATTATTATTCTAAATTTAAAACATATACATATTATATTTGTTCTAAATATACATATATTTTTGAGATAACCATTTAAAAAGCGTATATTAATACTAATATATAAAAATATATATATATATATATATCTTTGGTGTTGTGTTGCTCATTTTTATTGTTTGTATTTATTGGTTTTGAGGGTACGTAGTGTATGTCTGAAATTAGTGTATGTCTATTATTATATACATATATATATATATATATATATATATATATATATATGAGCAATAACAATATGAACAATGAATATATATGAAAATCAGAACAATAAGTCGTTGCGAATAATGTAAAATATTGTCTATTTTTGTTGTTTTTTGTTGATTTTTTGTTTTAAATTAAATTAATCTCATATTTCCTAGGTCATTTGATAAGTATTGTTGGTTTTGGTCTAGCGTTGTTGTTGTCGGAGGCTGATCCTGGCCTCCCTGGTATCAGGATGGTCGGGGTTAGAACAACTATCTTTGGTGTTGTGTTGCTCATTTTTATTGTTGTATTTGTTGGTTTTGAGGGTACGTAGTGTATGTCTGAAATTGTTTATTTTGCTGCTATGGCAAGTTTTAATTTGTAATTTGTCCAAATGTTAGCTTTCTTCAGTTCCTCGTCGGACATGAATTCATCCGACGAGATGAAACTTTGCAATGCTTTGAATTCTAAAATGAAAAAATGTTAAATTGAGTAACGCGAATAATAAACCGAATATTGTGAATTTGAAAAAGTTTGTAAAAGGTGTATAAGCGTCCTTTAACTTATGTGCTCGCCTATTATATACCAGGAGACCTTGCTCCCTAGAGCTTAACTAGTTATCTAACTCTTTCTAACCGGTCAGTCCCTATTGTATGTCATCTCATTCTTATTATACAAGTTTTATGTGTTCTGGTTAATTATACGTTACATAAACTTATATTAAACTGCTTTATGTCTGTAAATTTGTTGTCTCGTCGTGAACTACTTTTATAACTTAATTATCGTTATAGTTACTTACCTACTTTTACATATTTCTATATATAACCTATATTTACTTATTCCTCTTAAACTAAATTATCATCTACATAATTTACACAACAATTATATTAATGATTTACACATAATTTATACAATGGTGATTATTACTGTACAAGCAGCGGTAATAATAAAGAAACCTCTTTCGTAAGAAAACTACCCTATATGTTGAACTTTTAACTTTTCAAACTATTGTTCGAACTATAATGCCTTTCTTGGAGTTTGAAACACGCGCACGTGATAGCCTAAAGGTGCCAAGTCCTGCTTTGCACTGCCTGTAGTGACCGGCTTCGGATACAAAAAAGGATTTACATGCTTTGTGTGATGTGTCGTTTAGCACGTACTTATATAGATACGATGTTTATGTGCCGACGATACTACTGAGTTTTATATTTTAAAAATAAAAACTTAAAATTATTTTATTTAAATGAGAGCCATAAATAATCATGGTTGATATTAATAAACTGTTAGAAGAACACAAATAAATTAACGCACTTGTGATAGAAAGACGAATTCGATGAGTGTGAATTTGCTGTCAGGTTCAATAAGGATTTTATAAGCACTTGCCGAAATATAAATATTTGTATGCATACTTTATATAACGCATATATAATATACAGCTCACATTTTCTGCTAATACATTCGGGCATAGTCCACAAATTTAATGACAATTTAAAATGTTTGTTTACAACCTTTTGAACATTTTAATACGCACTCACATTTAATATTTGTTTCTTAATATTTTTTTTCTTCATTTGCACTTTCGCGGCGTTTTAGCGTTCTACCAATTTGTGATCGAGAACGATGAAGACAACACGGAGGAATGGGAATGGTACGAAAGTGGATATGTTCCCACAACTTTCAGGTTTATTATCTCGGCAAGTGTTTACAAAATTTTTATAAAATGCAATATCTATATATACTCAAAAACACACACACACACATATATATATATATATATATATATATATATATATATATATATATATATATATATACGGTTGGAATGATTCCTTCCAACCGTATATATATATATATGGTTGGAAAGAGACCATAATTGATGCCATATTTTATAAAATCTAGCGAATTTTTATCTTTTGAAAGCATACGGTTGAACTTTTCAATATTTCTAACAGTAATTTTATAATTATTTATGAAATTAATAAGAAAATCATTGATGTTCATGATGAAGCACATAGTAGGCGATTTTACTCTCCATCAGCGCTTATATAGTAGGGTGTGTCAATTTTATACCGGAAATTGATTTTTTTATATTTTTAAAAACCAGGGGTTACAAAAAGATACATTTTTGTATGCTGAATCCAAATTAACCTTCAGATTTGAAAATTTTAAGCTTGGTAAATTTTATGTTGAAATTTCAGCTAAAATGTTTATTTTTGTAATTTAGGAATTAATTATAAAAATCATCGAAAAAAGAAAACTAATTTTAAGCAACGACAAATTGTATATTTTTATTAAATACTGAAATAGTATTAGCATTATATGCAATGTCTAATCAATGTTATGTCAATTACAAAGTAGACAGTTTTACAGCTTACAGCAAGTGTCAATTATTTCCAAACTTTACGAGATTGTATGTACATGTCCTTCTTGTTCGCATTTCTACACATTAATTGTCTGCTGACGATCTGTGATCTAATATATCCATCCCTTCTTTCCTGACTGTAGACATGTTCACTTGCCTCTGTAACTATCTTGACACATCTCTCAATACTTTGAATGTGTGAGGGCCAGTCTGGGACTATCATTGGAGTGTGCAAAAATTGTTTGACTTGAGCCGTTGTTAAGCTACAAGTTAGAGGAGATTCATACATTTCAGAATCCCAATGAATGAGTTCAAGTAGGCTGCTGGCATCAGGATTGATCTCTGGTGTTACCCTTTGTCTTAAACTCATATCCCCCATCTGAACATTGGCTGATCTTCTTACCACAGGCATCACTATTTGCATCACCTCTTTGTCTTGGATTCTGAAAAGCTCAAGCTGAAAAAGAACAGGTCTCGGACCATCAATCCAACTATGCTTTACTTTGATGTTAAACCAATTAGGCATATAAACTCCGACTATAAATTCGACAATCAATTTCAAATTTCTAAGTGGCATATCTTTCAGACCATGATTGGAAACCCATAATCTGCAACATCTTAGAGCTGTAGTCAACCATCTTGAGTGACAGACAGGTCCAATCTGTAAGTTCGCAAGCCTGTCAGGCACAACACCAGATCTGATAGCATTAACAATCATGTATCCATAATACTGGTCTGTGCTGAGGTCATCAATAAAACTCTGTTTTAACTCAATCAATGAAAGACCAACAGTTATCCTGATAAAATTTGGATTTATTTCCAGGTCTATTGCATCATCAAGTATCTTACCAATTGGTCCTGACCATCGATTATTGCTCAGTGTTGGACCATCCAATTCTTGAATAAGATGTCTCAGTGGTAATTCATTTGTTTAAAGATCACATACCAACCAAACAAGATTTCTGCCAAGTGACACATCAGTAGCTTTATTCCACAAATTAACGATTCTTTCCTGGATTGTTAATTCATGAATAACAACAGGATATTTAAACTTAGAATTTGCTTTGGTCCACTGATAAAAGAGGGCAGTCATAATATCTTTGGCTAGTTCTTTTTTGGTATATTTTTTTTGTCCTTCTCGCTCAACTGCCTTAGCAGAATACCGTATCTTAATAAATCTCTCACAGTTAGTAACTCTGAGGTAATGATCTCCCTGCCAGACCCCACATAATGACCAAGATGAGTGGAGGTTTTTCCTCTGGGAGGCCATAATCAGAATCAAAATAACAATGATAGTAGTTCTTTAATTTATTGCAATATCTGAAAAACATAAAAACAAGTTAACAACATTTTATGTGCGTTAATTGTGGTCTAATTTTATAACATACAATATTAGGTGAAACTGCAAAATCTGATTAAAGAGATGAACTTCAAGCTTGACAAATGCTGCTTTATGTATTTTTCATGATTTATAGCATAACTAACAATGGGGGTATATTCAACTTAAAGTCATGTTACCCGCTCTCCCGTAAATAATGTAGTATATTTATAAAACTTTCACTCAAAATTTACCAAGCTTAAAGTGCATCCATTTAAAATTGAAAGACACCAACGGAAACAGGACATCAAAAAGCTTCTTTTGCCATGCCCTGGTTTTTTCAAAAAAAAACTTTTTAAAATTTGACACACCTTATTGTACATGGCTTGTACATTGTACATTAAACATGCTCTGTTTTTAATCCCTTCGTTAATTTGTTTCAAAGAAACATAGGTCACATTTTGAATACTTTTTGAATACTAATTTGGCACGCTCGGTAAATTTTTTCAAGCAGTGTAAAACACGTGAATTAGAAAGAGCTCCAGCTATAGTCAGTTTGAATAAAAACAATGTTGTTACAGGTACACACATCTTGAAATTACTCCAGGTAACAAGTGCTATATCTGTTAATCATTTGGTAAAATCATCGATAAAACAGATAAAACGAAATTATAAGTTTTTGATTCACTAGCTGTTCTACCGATGATTTTACCGAATAAAAATGATGACAAACCTGATGATTCGCAGCCATCAACCTCCTTCCGACTGTCTCTTCGTGCCAAATTCTCAGATGTGACCTCTAAAGAAAGTGTTTGGACTGAACATGTGCGAGTTAGAGATTGATCGTTCAACATCAACGGCAACTATAATATTGTTAAGAATGTTAATTTAACATTAATTATTGTGAGAGCGCCTCTGAGTAGTTTTATAAAATGTGCCATATATTATATAAATTACCCTATATAAATCTCATTTATAATTGCATATATATGAAAATATATATATATATAGTAAATTTTTAAATTTTTAACACCATCACAAATGATCTGGAATTTTTTTAAACAAATTGTTCATATAGAGCAAATTTATTTGGATCACGCTGGAAGCACCATCTACTCGCAACTTCATTTAAAAAGTTATTTCGATGACTTGTCACATAATTTATATGGAAATCCGCACAGTAAAAATAAATCAAGTTTAGAAACTGACTCCATGGTTGATGAAGTGAGGAAAAAGTAGGAAAGTTTTCTAGGGTTGAAAAACATTTAAAACATTTTAACTATTTTCATTTCAGAGTGTTGAACCACCTGAATACTTCGGAAAATGAATATTCCATAATTTTTACTCTGAACGCAACCAAGGCATTAAATCTGGTAGCAAAATGTTTTGCGTTTAAATCTAAAGCTGTGGATGAAGAGATAGTCAATGATGATGTTCAAAAAAGTTATTCTTTAGACCAAAGTTTGAATTTGGAATATGCCTCAACAAATTTTATTCAAGAAAAACATCATCCAAAGTCATACGGAGTGGGAAAAAAGCATTCGGTTAACAAAGGTTTGTTTGTATATTTGAATGACAACCACACATCCGTCGTGGGAATGAGAAACTCAGTTAACGTGAAAACTAACGCCGACATTGTATGCATTCGCGAACATGATCTGGAGGAGTTTGTTAAAAAGGTCAATGTTGATTTATTCTTTATTTTGTAACACGTTTTTGAATTTATTTTTTTTTTATAGAGAATTAGTTTGAAGCCGTTTGAAAAATTCGAAAGCACTTTTGTTAACAATTTACTCGTTTACCCAGCTCAAAGTAACTTTAACGGTAAAATTAAAACATTAAAAACTTAACAAATGGTTTTTAACTTTGTTTCGATAAATGACATCATTTCAAGGAAGAAGGTACCCAATGACCTGGATTGACGACGTACAAAATTGTTCGGGCTTCTTAGGTAGCTCTGCAGATTGGTCGGTTTTGATTGACAGTGCATCTTATTTGAGCACTTCAACAATTGATTTGAGCATCCACAAACCACAATTCCTCGTTTTATCCTTCTATAAAATGTTTGGTTTTCCAACTGGATTAGGTGATTCAATAGTTTTATTTTTCTATGTATTACAAAAAAATTATTTTTTCATAATAATATTATATAAGGTTTAAGTTAAATTAAATAATTTTATATACTGATATAAATCATGCATTGATTTTAATTTGTAAAATGATATTGGAAATTTTTAGAGCAAATATTATAGGATAATGTGCCTTCAATTTGTTTGAAAAGCATTCAAAATCTTAAATTACAATAATATGTCATTTAATACGGCTGCACTGAATGCTTAGCGTCAGAGGCCCTCAGGATGAGTTACCGTTAAGATCGCAAACAGGTAATGATTTCATATGCGTTTTGAAAAGATGGAGAGTTGGTTGTCGAATGGAAGAGGGCAGGCCGAAATAGAAGAGGAACCGTGGTTAATCAGACCAGATTTGTTGGCAGGCTGATGTAAATTATCTATTTAATTTTATCAAAGATGGGCAACAGTGTAGTGTCTAAACAATAGAAGATTGTGAAGATGAGGTGGCTGACTTTTTTGGCGTATAGTGATTAATTACTATCGATTTGACAGTAATACTTTAGTGGACAGGAAGCCAGTGCTATATGATTAGTGAAGTTGAACTAGTTTGGTCAATTTATTTTCTAAAGGTTGGAGAGAAAAAATGAGCTTTGGATGTGGCATTAACTAAGAAGGAGTTGATATGAGAAAGAATAAGATAACGAGCTAAGATAGAAATCAAATCGATGTAGAAATAACGTTTAATAAGACCGGCAGACCAGATGATGTAGCGGCAAAGTTTTATAGTAGATGAACTATGGGAGTTAAAAAAAAATCAAATGAGTCTGACACTATTTGAAAATGATTGTTGCTTTGACTGTGTTTGAATGTAAAAACTCTGCATATCACATATATTTACTATTTAAATGCGCTGGATGTTTGTTTTTGATACTGATACATCATAAAAATATACTTAAGAGAAAATTCCAAAGAGCCAACAATATTGACAAAAAATTAAAAAGAGCGTTTTAGAGCCTTAAATTGTTGCCGAGGAACGTATTAACGGACTTGTCATGGCCAAATTAGAAAAAGTTAGTTAATAGCCCCTGCAAATGTAAACATCAGCTGCATATAAAATCAGTTTATATAACTTGACAGTTTGTATGGGCCGGATTTAGAGGTGTGGAGGCCCCGGGGCAACGAAGGAGGAGAGATCTCTAATAATTTTCCGATCAGAAAAAACTAACTTTCCATCAAGTTTTAAAAAAAAATTGTCGTTCAGAGCCTATTTTTAATAATTTTCAAAGTTCATCAAAACCAGGTACAGCACGTTCTTAGTAACTTTGAAATTTTTTTCTTCAAGAATGTGATAGTAAAACAACTCCTTAGATTGGTCTATATTGTAGTCTTTTTTTGTATAAATTTGTCAAAGGTACAAATTGAACTAACTCGTTACCAAGACTAAGTTCCCAAATCAACTTTTTGTAAATTTTAACTAATTTCTTTGCAGTGGCATGTAAATTGTGATATATTTTAATTTTATATCTCTTCATCCTTCTTCAGGGCCTTCCCTGCTTTAAATCCGGCCCTGCTTAACAAATTGACTTTTAATAAAAAAAAATAAAAAATTTTGAAACGAGCTTTTATTAATTTAGGTTGTTTGTTGGTAAACAACAAGAAGATATTTTTATTAGAGAAAGAATATTTTGGTGGTGGAACAATTGATATGATGCTGCCTTTCAAAGATGTTCAAAGTTTCAGACCTGGCATGTCGGATAAGTGAGATTTTCATTTCAGTTAACAGTTTGGCTCATATTGATATTTGAAAATTGCCAGCAAGTACAAATTAAAATAAATGTGTGATTTAACCTTGTTCTTTTGCTAGTAGAGTGTATAATGAAAAGAAAATGATAGGGCATTCACTGTACTGAAATTTTATTTTTCATTTTATCAAAATAAACTATTATTATAAGTTGATCCAGTTATTAAAATGTTATATTTTTTAAAAACTAAAGCTTTTATGTCATTTCAATATCGACTCAATTTTTTGCATATTTTAAAATTCCCTAATAAAATTTTTGTTCTTGTTATGCATAAATGTTTCTTCTGCAGGTTTGAAGATGGGACTTTACCGTTTCTTGAAATCTTAGCTGTTAAACATGGATTTGATTCTATGCTACAGATTTATGGTTACTATGGAATGTCTCAAAATATATTGTTTTTTTTCATTAATCACATATTGTCGTAAAAGGTTCATTTGAAAATATATCGAACAAAACATTTGAGCTCTCACGCCACGTCTATTCGAGAATGAAATTAATGAAATACAACAACGGGCAAAATCTCGTGCGTTTGTATCATGATGAAAACAGTTATTCTTTCAGTACAAAGATTTTGCAAGGTCCAATTATAAATTTTAACTTATTTAAACCAAACGGATTTTACATTGGATATACCCGAGTTAGCACTTTTTAATTTTTTAATTTTTTTTTTCAAAATGGATGTAGAAATAATAGATATAATCGTGGTATAGGAGTCGAATGAAAAAGGTCTGACTCCTAGAAAAGATTTTTAACGTTTGCAACATAATTTTGCTAAAATATTATTACTAAATGAAAAATTTTTTAAAAAACACTTGATAATCAGTCAATGAAATTGTTTTTCTTAATAAAATGAAAACCATGTCATTTTATTCACATTATTTGCCGTATTACAAACGATTGCATATCGCTACACAACTCTCTTTTCTCTCTCTCTCTCTCTCTCTCTCTCTCTCTCTATCTCTCTCTGTGTATGTGTGCCCTTTAAAAACACGATTATTTTTAAAATAAAAAAATAAAGAGAGAACGATATTTCAAATTCATAACACTTTCCGGAATTCGGATGAAAAATATCCGACTCCGACCCCTCCCAAAGTTTCGATAGAGTTTTTGTATAATACATAACTTTTACAACTTTACAAATTGTTTGTATAAAAATAAAGTGGTGTTGTTCAATGGCCATTTTTATTCTAGATTCAAAAATTTTTATTTTATTTTAAACAATAGTTCATTTAAAAAACCAGTTGTTTTTGTCCATGGATATATATAATATATATGGATATATATATAGATATAGATATATATATATATATATATATATTATATCCATGTTTTTGTCCTTTATATTTCAGCTTGTCATTATTTTTGGTTACATTGTAACTTGAGGTTTAGTGTGAAGAAAAAAATGTAACACAATCAAAATTTTGAATTAATTTGCTTAATTTGTTTGCTTTTTCAAAAAGGTTGCCATTCATATGCTCATTTCTGATGAAAATCGAAAACAAATTAATTAAAAAAATTGTTCTTTCAATAAGTATAATATTTAGCTTTGGGAATTTAGCTGCTCAAAGGCATCACGCAATTTTCAGTTTTTGAGAAATATTCATATGTGATCAACCTTTAATAATGTTTGAGCTTAGTTAATTCTAAGGTGATCGTTTCGTGTTGTGATTTGTAGGTTACGTTGCCTTCATTGAAGTTTACAAAATCATTTTTGTGGTTTACTACAACATTTTTATTGCTGTTATGATTTTTATAGTTAACAAGATTATGTTCTTTGTATGTTGGAAACCTTCTTTGCCTTCATCAAACGCAGGAGTTCTGTCTCGAAAAACATGTACTTAATTAAAAAAACGCATCAAAATTTGCATTGACAAACAGTGGAGAAAATTACTTTTTTTAATTTATTTTTTAATTTTAACTTTTTTATATTTTTGTAATCAACAAAATTTTGTTTTAGGTAGAAGAACTGGCCAGGGTAAACAATATACATTTGAGAACAGGATGTTTTTGCAATTTAGGAGCTTGTCAAATATATCTTAACCTAACCGATGAAGATTTTATGCAAAATTTTAATGTAATTACTTTTTATTATTTCGTGAATTATATTGAAGCTACTTATGGTATAACTAAAATTATAGTTAGGACATGTATGCGGTGATGGAATCGATATAATTAACGATAGACCAACTGGATCGGTGCGAATATCATTTGGATTCTCATCCACTGCCGCTGACGCTGATTATTTCTGCAATTTTTTGGTCACAAATTTTCTCGAACCAGGAAACGAATCCTTGCAAGAATTTTCAAATTTTTTCTACTTAACTAAATTTGAATACGTATTAAAAGAGATTTGGATTTATCCAATAAAATCATGCTCGGGCATAAAAGTATTTAAATAGGTTTTTACTTTAAACATTTTAAGTAGTTCAATCATTATTAATAGTTAGGGAAATGCAACTTGGATACACGCGGCCTTAAATTTGATCATCACTGGATGGTTATAAATGAATCTGACGGAAAGTAAATTTGAAACACACCATTACAAACAATTTGTATTTGTAATAATTCAATTGATTTGACAGATGCATCAATCAGAAGATTAACTCTCAGTTGTGTATGATTAAAGTTAAGATTTCTGACATTTCTAAATTTATTCTTTCTTCCGAAGGTTTGTTTTAATTTAAGAAATACAACAGTAACCAATATTAGTTGTTTTTAATTTAACAGGACACCCAGATATGGAGTTAAGTATAGACGACGAACCGAAGAAAAATGAAAGCCAAATAAAGATTTGTGAAGGAAAGATTTGTAATGATAGGTAGCTCAACTTTTTTTCTATTCAGTTTATTTTAGAATGTATTTTCAGTTTATTGTAAAAATTGATTTGATAGAATTACGGTAAATGTTAGCAACGATGAAATCAATGGTTGGTTTTCTAACGTGTTACACATCCCACACGCTAAACTGGTTGTGCAATCCACAGATGACAAAAGAACTGTCAAACAAAAATCTGATGCTTGTTAGTTTGATATTTTGCTTTGAAAGCACCGGAGATATATAAGTAATTTAAATTTTTGACTAAAAATTAATGATATTTTTATTTTAATAATTTAAATGAATTGGTCTAACGAAAGAAATATAAATTTAATTAAACCACAAATGAAATTAGCGAATATAGGAAATATATTGTTTCATCTTTTATCTTTTGAACAAGAATATATGATAATATAACGATACCAATGATAATAACAAAAATATTCAATTCAGCGGAAAAGGAAGCATTTTTGAATTTATCCAATGAAGGACAATACCTGCTCATTGGAAGTGCTAGCTTAGCTTACTTGCAAAAAAAGATTACTGATAATTCGGTAAACGGCAAGCCTGAATTTACAGGTAAGCATAGCTCATAAAATTTCATAAATAACAAATTAATTTCTCAACAAATTTAAATTTTTTATGATCAAACTCAAAAGACCTTGATACCCTTGCGGCAAGATTTAGAGCTAACTTCATCATTGAAACTAATGTTCCCTTTGAAGAGGATGGATGGTCAGAAATTCAAATAGGAATGGCACGTTTTAAGGTATTTTGGTATGTGTTATGCTGAGAAACTCGTTATGTATGTATGTATTGAACCAATCAGCAGCAATTAAATGTACTTCACAGTCGTCATCCGATACTTACCGCGTTTAAATTAATTGATTAGTCTTATCTTCCATATCTAATAACTATTAACTGCATATGTTTCTCCATTATTCAACCATCACGGTCAACATTGCTAATGATGGCTTTCATTCGAAATACGCAGATGTTTGACCTTTTTTTCATATTATACTATACATATAAGTTATGAACATAATAAAAAGCGTGTCTTAGAAAACGCCTAGCTTATTAGCTTTACATATCCAACAAGATTTAGATAGCTACCTTCATTAAATTTTACGCATGCTTTTTGAAATAATGCTATAAGAGTGTTTTCACGAACATTAATGTAAAAAAAAATATAAAGTCAGCTTGAAAAAATTTTAATCAATTAGAAAAAAAAACATTCATTGACAGGTAATAAAGCTTTGTAATCGTTGTAAAGCAATATCTCGCGACCAAAATACCGGTATTCAACATAAAGAACCATTGCAAAGTTTGATGAAAATTCCCAACAGAAATGTTAGCAATTGAAGTATTTTAGTATTATAGCTTTAAAAAATATTTCATTCATTTCACAAGAATTTAAAACCCTTCGACAAATAGCACTCGATGCAACGTAGCTATGATCAGATGATTGCTCCTTCGTATCCGTACTACATTATCGTGCTTATTATCCGTTATGTCTATTGTGAAATAATTTCGGCAAATTTTGTTCAAAGCGAGTCAATGTAGACATTGGAAAGTAAATCTTGCTTAGCAAGTTTAACAAGCCAAGTTTAACAAGCCAAATTGGTTGCGTATAGCCCTCATCAGCAATAGTTTGTTTTGTAATTTATTAAAATTTATGATGTTGACGAAAATATATAAGTTCTGAATTGAGGCCATGTTGAGCTGATTTCCGCTGTTTAATTTTAATAATCTCTCTACAACACTAAAATATTATAGCTTTAAAAAATATTTGTAAAAGCTGAACATTTTTCCTTTAAACGAGTTATTATAATAGCAGTAGCAATGATCATTACAAAATGTTTTAACTCAAGTTGCAGCTATTTATCTGAATAAATTTTCATTTACAGCCAACTTTTGGTATCCTGCTGATGAATGAAGACGATGTTAGCTCGTACCCAGAAATACGCTGTGGAGATTTACTGAAAATTATAAAAAAAAAACTTTGTTAAGTTTGAACGATTATAAGTTGATTTAATTTTATTAAGTTTTATTAATAATGATTTGCCGGCGAAATAAAAAATTCGTGTAAAAGCTCTTCATGCGTTTATAAACGTACCGATTACCAGATCATTTATTTAAAAATCGACAATGTAAAGCGTTCATCCCAGCAATATCTCGTAGGATAAAATCAAAATTGCCTGGTTTGTAGCTTTCAATTTTGTTTGTATGAATGTGTGTGTTTGTGAGTGTGCATGCGTGCGTGTAGTTTTACTACATTAGTGAGATATCAATTTATGAGTAGGGGAGATGGGGGCACATTGATCTGTTTTGAGGTTTTTTTGTAACAACAGTGAAACTAACCAAAAAGTGAATATTAATATTTGTGCAATTTACAGAGGAACATTCATTTAATGTATTAAGTTCAGTTTCAATTGTATAATACAAGAAATTTTTAAAAAAATTTAACTTTGGTACAACCCCTACAAAGGATCAAAGCACCCCATATACGGGGTACCATGATCCCTCCCATGGGGTACATTGATCCTAGGTATAAATCAATATGATTTGATGTTCATTTGCCTCCAAAAAACTCGTTAAAACACATTGGATATAATAATTCATAATTTTTAATAAAAATTAACATTAATTAAGATCTTTAAAAATTGTCAAATCAACGGGAAAAACCAAGTGACGACTGACTCGAGCAGTCCCACCATGCTGAATTGGATCTGGAACTTTACAAACAATGTCCTCTTTTATAAATTGATATAATTCATCATTTCTACAGATAAAGTTGAATGATGACATCTTTTCCCTTTTCAAGTATTTTACCATTAAATCTCCAGCTTCCGATATTATTTGGCCAATGTAATGAATAACTTTCTTTTTAGTTTTAAATTTTACTACAACATAGTCATTATTTTTTAATGCAGAACAGTCGTAGTCCAGACTTGGCC